ATGAGGACAAGTGATTTCAGCACGCGCCGTGCCGAGCTTCGCACTCCGGCCGCTGCCTCACCCAGCGGTGCAGCAGTCACCAGCGAGCCAGGACAATCTGAGCGGCGCACCGCCGAACTCCCTGCTGGCGATGCGATCGCTACTGCTCCTCTCGGCGCCGAGGAACATTGCGGCGCCTGAAGCATCTACATCAGAGATGGCCAAGCTGCGGCTAGTGAGCCGCATGTGGCTCTTTGCGTGTTAAAGTGTGGCTCGCAGTTTCCTCCCCTATCCGCCCCCCCCCCCCCCTCTTCCCTGCCTCCCTCCCAGTCACATGAGCACTTCACGAAGAGAAATGGAACGCGTTTTATATCGAAAGAAAGACTGCGGTTCGGCAGTCTTGTGCTACTACTACCTTATCAAAGTGGCAATGCAGGCGAGTTGGTTCATCGTTACAAAATGGAATCAGCGCGCAAACTACGAAGACACAAGGAAGAGAAATTGACAGGACAAGCGCTGGACTTCAACTGAACGTTTATTGAAAAAGAAACTAACGAGGAAAACAAACAAACCACCAAATCATCACCCCATCAAAACGTGCTCAGAAAAGCTACATCTCTCTTATGTAAAAAAATTGATGTTTGGCTGGCGCATTGGGCACCTTCCTTTCCTATCTCAAATGCTTCGAGCAGCTCGCGTGCTGTCTTATTGTCGCGGTTGCGAACGCGGTTGTATAGGCAACCTGCAATGCAGTTTGGCGCTACACGTTGCGCCATCTAGCGGCTGCGGAACGCGCGCCGCTTTTGAGTCGAAAAGGTTGTCTGCTAAAGATGCTGGCTCTCGGCGCCGTATGCTCGTTCGTTGGCGGCGTTCGTTGCGCTATCTTTTGTCTCCCGTGCGAAACGGCGCCGTGTTGTTTGAAGACCGGTGGCGTCGCTGCGTTTCCATAGGAGCTAAGCCTTTTTCTTTCTTTACTTTTTCCTAAGGTAAGTTCGCTCTTCGCAAATTTAAAAAAAAAAAAAAAAAAAGCACCATCTGTGGGCAACGCTGCACAAAGTCGTAGCGCGATAGGTCAACAAACCGAATTTTCCGGTCGATTTAAAGAGCCTGGCGTCTCCTTGTATCACCCTGTATATCGCCGGCGGCCGCAACCTTGGCAGTAAAGGCCTGACCACACTAGCGTGAACGGCGCCGCCGGGGGGCACCGCCGTCCGGCGTCCCAACGCGAGGAGTCCACATTGGCCTCCGTTTTGCGGGCGTCACGTGACGACGCTGGATCTCGCGATAGCGCGCGCGCCTCCCGTCGGATTTCCCGCTCTTTCGTCGTCTGCTCTCCGTTAGATTCTTCCGTTTCTTTCGTCTATCATCTTTCGCATATATCAGCATCGAAACCGCACTCGCTGCCCGCATCGTAGCAGTCCATGATGACCTGGTGATCAGCGTGAATGTGATTATCCTAGCCTGCGCGTTCATCTTGCGACGTCGCCGCGCTCTGAAGGGAAGGAGGTGCAGGTTTTGGGTCCGGCCGAGTTGGTTCTACCGAAACACCGAAGAGCAGGTCAGTGCTTTGCTGCCCCGGCGGAGCGCCAGAGATGAAGGCTACTTCCGAAAGTGTCACCAAATCAACACGACATCCGTCACAACACAGACGACATGCAACAAGTGCCACAGAGAAACTCACTTGTAATTCCGAATTCCTCTTCTATAATTTTCCAGCGGTTGTTCCTAGCGTCATTATCTAGGTAGTCTGGCTGCGTCTTGTTATATAAAAAGGGAAACAGTCGCACAGTTTCAAGGAACCGCTCCGTAAGGCATCAGGGGGAAGTAGGGACAGCAGACGACACGAAACACGTCCTTCGGAACGTGAAAGACGCGCGGAGGACCGGCTTGAGCGTTGCCATGGCATCGCGACGTCACTGTCTGCGCCACCTCCTCATTGGCTCCTCTCTTCTGCGGTGAGAGGCGGCGAGCTCTGAACCGCGCAAGGAGTGGTTGGCTCTGCGGCGCTGTACCAGCTGTACGTCGCGCCGTTGAAGCCGAAAACTGGTTTTGGTCGACCACGGTCAGCGCCGACCGTCGCGTCGCAGGCCTCCGCGACGCCAATGTCCACTCCAGTACACCACAGACGAGCTGAGGGAGCGGACATTAAAGGGACCATGAAATGACTTTTTTACTTTTTCCAGATAACTTTTACATTAAACCGTCAATGTTCAATGAATGCCGAACAGGCATCCGTTTTCGTCTCGGTTTATTAACTTCTACACAAAAAATTAATGAAATATCGACTTTTTCTTGACCGCAAAACAAGCCGTGACGTACGCTGTTTCCGGAACCGGAAGTTCTCTTGGCAGTAGGAGATGGGAGCGTTAGCGGCGACGAGTTGGGGTGCGCCGGTAGGTTTTACTGCGCCGATGTCACCGACGTATTTTCTGAATCGGCGCCTCTCATCGCCGCACCGCAGCTGAGCGAAATTCAATGAGATACGTTGCGCTACAGCGACAGCATGGGACTAGTCCCATACGCCGGTATGCCTGTTGGGAAGTGCAGCGAGTCTTCCGGTGAAGACTCCAGAAGTCAACCCAACTGTCATTGTTGGTAAAAGGCGGCCAGTGTCAGTCGTTCGCAAAGCGACGTAGATGGAAACAAATTACCGCGGCGTTTTTCGCGGTCTCGGAGATGCAGGAGCGAGCCGACGTTAAAAAAGATACGTTTGAACTACGAGTGTCAGCAAGAGCCACGTAAATACCTGTTCACACTCGGAGCGGACGCGCGCGTTTGATGGAAGTGCTGTATTCGCGCTGTTGGTAAGCGCTTCGGGACCGATCTTTTACGATTGCAACTCGATACTGACGCGACACTCGGCAAAGAAAGGTTGGACCGGTATCCCACGAACTGTTACAGCTCGACAGTGACGTGCAGTCTGTCAGAATAAAAATGGCATGCCAATAACAAAGTGTACATACCGTGTTACGAAGGTAATCCATACGGCGTTTATTTCAGCTCTATATCACACAAAACAAGAAGAGAGAATCGACGAGGGTCCCTTTTCGACCAGTGTTCGTCAACACTGCCTCGGAAAACAAGGGGAAGAGATTGACCTCACCTCTTAACCTAAAATTGAGGTCAGCGATCAAACTATAATACGGGAAGGGTCCACAAGGGTAGCGCGGGCATATTCCATTCAGCACGCCAGCCGGTCGTAAGCAGACAGACGGTCTTGCGACGAAGCAACGCTGCGCCGAGTCGGAGTGCCTGCTAGGCCTATATTCTGAGAGCTTCGTCGGAGCGGGATTCGCGGCTGTTGTCGCTCTTCTCGGGTGTTAGTGGATCCAGCGTTCTTGTTCGTCGTGGTCTGTTTTAAGTAAATTTTTTTCTTGCTGCTTGAAGTCGGCACGCGCGAGATGAACACGTAGAAAAATAAACGTTCAGTCAGTCAGAGTTTCGAGAGGAAGGTAACCAAAGGAAATAACCGTTCTGAAGTCGGCGCTGCCCTACTGCGCACGCGCAGTAGTTGCTTCGTTTACCACACGATAGATGGCGCTTGGCTCTCAGCATTATCAAATTTGGCAATTTTCGCCACACATCTCTAATTATGCTACAAAATGTGGATCTGAATATTATTTAACAAAACTTTTAGGAAACATTCGCCGGCTATTTATTGTTTACGATCGCGGTGCTGTGAGGTAGGCTCTTACCCAATAGGCGACGTGGATTCGGCTGACGTGCTCCATTTCTGCGGATGCATCGTAGTGAAAAGGCAGAGCTTTCGAAGGAAAGAAGTCGCAAAAGAGTCCAGTTTTCTTTTAAAAGTTCTATAGCAAATAATTTTTTTTGGCTCCCTAGTTTTGTGTTTTTGTGTTTCTTTTCACACCTTTTACGACGTGCGGTGGATGAAATTCGATTTTAAGATCATTTCATGGTCCCTTTAATGCTTTCGCATTCGCAACTCATAAGAAGTGCTTAGGTGTCCTTGCAATTTTGGTGTCCCTGCAAACCCACAAAATGATGCAACCTTTTGTGGGTATCCCAAAGGATATCTCAATATTCTAACATTGGTCTAACCAGAGTTTACACAATAATAGCCTTATCTCGAAAGAAACCCGTCTCTTATACCTCCGCAGGCAACCCAATGTATTCATTGCTTTGTCAGACATACGCGTATTAGCAATAACCGCATTCAACATTAAGTCCAATGTACTTGTACGACAATCCTCGAACCAAGGTACAATTTCCAATAGAAGAATTAAGAAGTTATACGTATTCTCTCGGGTTATTGACAAGTAAAGTTCCAAGATGTAAAACCAACGGAGAAGACTAGAAAAGTTTAGTCGTCATTTTTAGCGTGATTTAAAATCCCCTTTATCTGCTTTCTCTTCATTACTCCTGCTGGTCCAATCGAATTTCCAATCGTAACCAACTCAAGTTGTTCACGGTCGTTTAATTTTCCAATGGCCTTGAAAATTCCTTGCTGAACAGCCACCTTGGACCGCCTTAGACCAGGCGGAAAAGTCAAGGAAGTTGATTTGGTCCCTTTGAGGCCTTTACGAACAAGGACCAACTCGTTCAGCCGAACATTGAGTACCTGGTTGCTACTGTGACGAAGTTTTTCTTCTTTTTATTTCGGTATTGAACACCTCGTTTGTCGTTTCTTTTTTTTTTTTTTCGTTTTTTTAGTTCTAACTCTTCATAAATTGCTAAATTGCGGTACGCTAACAGCATATGGGCAGCTGCGTAGACTTCACAATGCTTCTTCTTGTTTTCATATATTATCCTGATATGTTCGCCGACACCTTTCTTATAACTACATTTCAAAATGAATATTTCCAACTCCTTTTTTTATATATTCCATTTTCTAATTACAAATATTATCAACACAGGACGTATTTCGAATTATATTTTGTATTTTCAAAGACATTCTGCCAAACACTGATGGCGAAATACACGTCATGAATACAAACCAGTGCTTAACAAAATGTTCAATAAATATTCTAGTCATCGGGAAGGACAGTCTATTTTGAGACAGGGTGGCACTGTTTCACGGTTGACTGCAGACGTATCACAATAAGAGACAGTTCATTCATACGCCCTCCATACTGTCTCGAAAGCCTCCTAATCACGACTCCAAACGCTTTTCGGCAAATGAAGATAGTGTCAGAATTTAGACCTAGAGAGGCTATTCTTTTTGTCGTCTAGTGATGGAACGACGCCTGCACTCTGAGCCATGCTGCTGAACATCGATGCAGGGTTGGAGAGAAGTTGCGTGACAGATCCATACTCCAGGACGCTGCCGTCGCCCATAACCAGGATCCTAAAGAGAAAGGGCAGAATTAAAAAGCGATAACAACACGGCAAATCAGATGCTCCTAACAAAAATAATCTCTAATTGTGACCCAAATTTTTTTTATAAAAAAGCTTTTCTGCGACTTTTTGTTTGCCGCCTGCACATTCACAAGAAACACCGCCCACTTATTTACCAAGTTTCAATCTAAAGTAAATGTTGATTCCTTTTCATAAAAGACCTAGAGACATTCTTTCATGTGACCATCACCCTGGTATAGGGTGGTCGGTTCAACTGTTTGCAAAAACAGAAACAAAAATGGAACACCCACTTGTCATAGTCGAGCACGGTGTGAATTCGGTGTGCGATGGCCAGCACTGTGCAGCGCACGAAACTCTCGCGAAGGGTAGCCTGGATCAGGCGGTCTGTGTCGCCGTCCATCTGCGACGTGGCTTCGTCCAGGATCAGAACTTGCGGCATTCGAATCAGGGCACGAGCAAGACAGACGAGCTGCCGCTGACCCACACTGCAACGCGGTAATGGGGTGGAATTATTACTATCGACTTTTAAAGACTGATCGTAGAATCCTTTGAGGCTATCCGAGACGAATCCAAACGTGGGAAAACAGGATGCTAGCGCTAATACACGGCGTCCCCTTGAGTTAGCCAGAGGCGCCTTCAGTCATCCAACTACAGATGAATGAAAATAACTTGAATGGTGAACAAACCTTGGGTAATTCTATTTTTCTTCTTAGTCCTTCATTATTATCAATACCGTTTATACTATTGAGTATGACTATAACCTTTTGAGAATTAGGGGTTTATTTTTCTTCTAATTCTGAAATGCTTTATTCTAGTATATTTTTACCGCAAATTCGGTGCTTTTCGATTTCAATTTTCGGTGTTCAACAGAATATCGTCGTTTATCGGGCTCCTGTTAAAAAGGAAACTGCTCATGGCACTGGGATTTCCCAACCTCCAGGAAACAGGCAAGTAACCGGAATACGTAGCAAACGTTTCGGTACCCAAACTAGAAGAAAGGAGCTGTCTAGGGTGCAGTTCAGTGGGGAATGTTCTGGGTTAGCACAATATAAAATATTTAACACATTTGTTTTTCGTAAAGCCCCGGTGTTTCTACTACAAGGACAGCTGCAATCGGGTTTTCTTTTTTCGCTTTTTTTTCGCAATTGGAATAAAATAATCTTGGTCGTTTATTTCTGGGGTTTATAAGGTGTTCACCGAAAACTCAGAACACTAATTATGACCAGTTAAGGTTCATAGTGAGTAGTAGATAAAATGTGTCATAATATATGAATAACCTGAGATTGCTTCCTCCATCTCCTGTCTCGAGAAGGAGCTGCTGAGGATGGCTCGAAACGACGTTTCCCAAGTGGGCCTGGTGGAGTGCACGCCAAAGTTCTTCGTCCGTGTGTGACCTGGTTGGGTCCAGGTTGTCCCGAAGACTTCCTCGAACCAAAACGGGGTCCTGACAAGGTGGAGGCCAAAGGCAAATATAAGTCAGGCGCGAAGTAATTTCAAAATTTCCGAAAAATAAAATATTCCGAGGGATTCAAAAGAGCGAGCAAAATTGCACATTTCTTAACAAGAACATTAAAAAAATTGTTTAAAGGTTCAATCTAGTTCTCAAAATTGTACATGAAAGCATACGTTTTCTTGTTTTTTTAATATTTATAATTTCGGACAGCAGCATCTTTATGGTTTTACATATTTCTATTTATCTTTAACAGTCGATTTACAAATTGTCCTGGCCGTCTATAAACCTTTGCCAAAGGCGCTCCTAGGCCGCCGCCATCTTACTGATGATGATGCAGCTGGTGCTACTCTCGGGCCCCTACGGCTAGAAATGTTTTTCCACTAACTTGGACTGTTGAAACCTTCTCAAGCTGATTCTCCACCGAGGTTCTGCAGTCTTGTATTCAAAGCTTTCCGGCCTCTCTTAAAAGTTTCCATTTTATTTTCCTTATGCTTGCTGGGTTCACTTTTTAGGCAAAAATGTCTAACGGCACGTCATTTTAAGAGTGACAACTGTTCTAACTACGCCGAGAAATAATAGTCCTAGAATTTTTCTCAGTCATCGCCAAAAATAGCAATTCGGGTAGGGGTGGGCAAAGAACCAGTCGCGTGCATTTGCTTGCCGTGGAGCTGGTGTTGTAAAAAAACGAAGCTTTCCCCAAAACGTGCCCCAAAACGAAGTCCTTTTGGCTTACGTCCTATCGCCAAGATATGACTGTCGTCGAGACTGTTGGGCTGTGTTATTTGAGATATTTCTCAACAAAAAAAAAAAGAAATCACAGGAGGGCACTTAGGACTGCTTACGTGTAGGAACGCTAACGCATTATACTCCCGGGGTTAAACTGTTTTCGAGTAACGTTTCTACACGTATTAAAGTTTCCATCAGTTCGGCTGGCCCCTTAGCAACGATGACGCCGTTGCCATGGAGCCACATGCGCTCTGGCGCTGACATCACGCTCCCCCACTATGCAGGCGCGGCGAACCCTGCCCCCCCCCCCCCCCCCCCCCGCCTTCCTGACGATGCATCGCTGTGCTTTTCTTCGTGTTTTCCTGGGGCGCGCCCGCTTTGACCTTGAACGCCTGGCCGGCTTGCGTGACGAAGCATCCGCGTTGCTTTGCTCTGCTTCTGGCCCATGGGATTTCAACTGCCGTTCCAATGCTACCGACGGTTTCAGACAGAGCTCTGGTTACAGATAACGCCGACTTCGCTCTATGGGACAGTTAATGCTCCCGCATTCATACATTATATATATGAATCATCCGTTCGGTCACGTGCGTACCCATCAAAAAGGCTTACAGTTTCTTTTTCGTTTCGATTGTGGTACAGTTATTTCTCAATGTCCTCGGAAAAACACACGCACCATGTAACGCAGAAAACAGTGAGAAAAGGGAAGAATTTAACAGCCAGCAATGTGTGAAACTGCGCCTACCCTGGCTGCATCTGTCGAAATCAACGGTCCACTCGCTCATTCTTAGCACCGACGCCGGTTGGAGACTAGCCTCCAGCTCACTGTGTGGGCCCCAAAAAGTTATCTTGTCCCTGAAGCCTAGTTTTTCTTGGAAAGGTGTATACTCAAAAACCCGTACTTTTCTCCGCATTTTCGAAGAAAAGAGGAGAGCGCTCGCACAACTTTAATGAGCGTTCGAAAGGGGAGAGGGCACGCGTGCCCCGTACCTTCGACTGCATTGCCAATACAATTTGTCTGCGTGTATAGATGATGTTAGCAAAGTATCGGTCACAATAACTCGTTTTCGTCTTTTATGCGGAGAGCGAGTCGTCTGCTGCTTGCGCAGGAGCTGCGGTGACGTCAATAAAGACGCCAAGCTTTGATTGGCTTTGATTGAAAGGTACACTATAAAAAAAGCCTGTGCGTCTGCTTTCCCTTACAACACTCGGAGAGCCAATCACCGCAGCTTACTGAGGCAGCTCAGCGAATGACGATGCCGAAACATATGTTTAGACCAAAAAACGCAGTCTGAGTTGTGACATTAAGCAATGCAAGCGTGACGTTTTGCATTGCTTAATGTCACAACTCAGACTGCGTTTTTTGGTCTAAACGTATGTTTCGGCATCGTCATTCGCTGAGCTGTCTCCGTAAGTTGCGGTGATTGGCTCTCCCAGTGTTCTGCGGGAAAGAATACGCACAGGCTTTTTTTTAGAGTGTACTGGGTAGACCGCCAAGCAAACAGCCGTGAGGTCTGCCCACTATTCTTCATTCAGAACCACTCAGAGCTCGCCGTTCTGACGTCACCACAACCCCTGCAAAAAGAGCAGACGAACTTGCGCTTCGCATTGCTTTTAAGACTTCCAATGAAACATCATGGAGCTAGCCTAGTGAGCGCAACACTTCGCAGAAAAATACAACGGGGATTCAGCTGTAGTCGCTGACAAGACGAGTATGGCAGGGAATCTTCTTTGGATGTCCTGCCTCTAGCACGCAATCCCAGCCTTCCGCCGTACGCTGGCTGCGGCTACACGCTCAAGGCAAGCGAGACGACGAGGTGAAATCGAAAAGAGGAAGCTCGCGGTGCAGGCGGAAAAAGTGAAGGGCATTCCTGCCGTTCTCTCCCTGTTAGTCACAATAATCGTTCTATGCAGCGCAATTCATGAAGCACACTGCAGCATTTCGTTAATCACGTAAAATCAATCAATTGAATCAAGCAAAATAAATTTTAAAAAAAAACGTCACATTAAATAGGAAAAAAAGAACGCACGACGGGTTCCAGACTTTTACATGTCGAGAAGCAGAGAGAGTTAGGTAAGAAAACAGAACCCAGTCGTTGTATCTTGCTTTTCTATTCACTGTTTGCTCACGGTATTAATTCAAGCTGTTTATCTTATTGATTTCACGTCCGCGCTACCTGCGGAATGATGGTGACAGCAGATCGGAGTCTTCGTAAGGGAACTAGGTTGACGTCCACGCCGTCAATCCTGATGCATCCTTGCGTGGCCTTGAGCACACGAAGCAGAGCCAGAACGAGCGAAGACTTTCCGGCCCCAGTTCGACCCACGACGCCCACCTGGATGTCGGGAGACAATGCGGGTCAACCAGGAAGACGCCATTGTTCAAAGACTAATCAGGACTGAAAGCTTGAACATTAGACACGCATGTAGCACAGTGGGAAAAATACTACGCACTAGTACGCGTAGTAATAACCACAATACTTTGTAGTTGATATTTTGCGAGTATTACGTTTTCAAATTGCAGATGTGTAGATAAATTATCCGCGAGAAAGAAAACAATCTTAAGACATCTTGTGTGGTACTCAAACTCATGGTATTCAGATACCGAAGCTTCGAACAGTTCTGCATTTATGTCGTCTGCAGTCAATTGTTTCAAGAGGAAGCGAGACAATGCCATCCGCAAGACCTAGGGATGAAGAAATGTAACGTCGTACAGAACATACAATAATCGGTTTCTGCCAAGCTGCAATGGGCAGAAGGGGGCTTCCGTTTTCCGCTTATGTGGTGCAAAGTGTAACCGAAGTAGACGAGGCCTCAAAACGTCTCTTTAGTTTCTCGGTCAATAGAAAACTCAGTTTATGTACTACGTCATGTAAATATAGGGAAAACAACCGCCTTGTCATGACATTGCCATGACAACACGGTTCTTTGCTCTATGTTTTTACGGCGGCGTCCACTGAATCAGTGTCCAACAGATGAGATTCAGTGCTTAAAGGGGCCCTGCAAGTTCTTTTTTACTGGTTTTTAATTAAACAGAACCTGAGCGCACTGAACGTAGTAACTTAATTAAGCTTTTTTTTTTTCTCGAATTGCGCTTTATTTTAAAAGTTATCGGCAAGTTAAGGTTACAAAAACAAGCAAAAATTGACCTCCTTCATGACGTCCTTGGTTGCTTCAGTGGTCGTGAACTAGAGGAGGGGTAGTGAGCTCAGCGAGCGCTGACTGCTGCGGCACTCCGTGTCGACGGCTCAAGAAAGCGCCACTAAAGCATGTTCTAGATAGGCTGTATGAAGCGGGCAGCCAGGGCGGCTCGCATTGCATTTACTGCACGATTAAACATTAATTCGGAATGACACTTCATTGGCCACAAACGAAAGCAAACAGCGGGTAAAGATCAGTTCAAAACGGGAGCCACTTCGCGCTGCCGTACCGCCAAAAGGCCAAACCGCAAGCCAAAGATGCTCGCCGAAGGCCCTAGGAACGCTCAGAACCGTTCGGATCCTCCAGTCCATACGACCGCAGCGCTTCTCCGTACATCCGGGACCTTTATACGCTCGCCGCTCGTTGGTGCCTGATCCCAATACACCTTTCTAGTATGCGCCGCCTTTTCCACCGCTTGGTGGCGGGTATGTCGACGGGTCATTTCTTGTTTCCGTGCTTTCTAAACTGAATTTGTTTCTTTTCTGATTTAAAATAGTGAACAAAAACTACTTTTAAAAATAATTGAAACAGTTCGCGTCACTTATATTTTGAATTTCAACTATAAAGAAGCTTTTAGCGACTCTGACCAGCAGTCACCTCCTCCACCACGGGTCGCCCCCGTAGGTGGAGGAGGTTTCCGCGTCCTCCGGTTAAAATAGGACGCACTGATCTTTATTTACTCTCCCCGTGCCCGCTGGCTTACCCGAACCCCGAGGGACGTGGAAACTGCAAAAAAGGTAGACGCTTAAATATGATTGCAGGGCCCCTTTAACGCTTATCTCGCCAGCAGGAACTGGGCGTGCGACGCACTCTCTAGACGGGGGGCCGGGAACGTCGTCTAGAACGAGTCATTATTGCGTGGCTTTGCAAAACGAGCATATCGGGCATTGTACGGACGAACACTGAGAATGGATCCGGGTTCAGAATGCGGAAGATGTGATCTTGTGCACATTACTTAAAAAAGGGTAATCGATTACTACTAACATTTACTCTCTGTTAAAAAAACTGTGAGCCTTTTCACTCTGGTGACGAAGGAAGACTAGCCAAGCTGTACGCTCGTCCCGTGTGTTCCCTCTTCGTCCTCGTCTGTTTTGCGCGCTGTTTCCTACGATGAATTCCCACCAACTCGCCCAACTATCCATTCTTCTATGATAGCTGAAAAGGTTGCCGCCATCTGCGAGCGACGGCGGCAACCAGACTAGTTGTCTGGTTGCCGCCGTCGGTCATAGATGGCGGTAGCTAACCAGAGTTCTCTGTAGTTTTGCGTCCTCATTTCTTTGGTAGCGGACACGAAACTGGGGAAACTAGCCCTTAATAGCTCTGCTGTTAAAGTATTCAATTCGATTACTTGATTACTTGAGAATAAAAGTAATTGGCCATTATTTGAAGAGGAATCGTTACTTTCCCCGGCTACTTGAGATTTTCAAGACGGCTGATTGTTTTTTTCTGCGGTATTAAAACCAGCCTTTTGCGCTGTCTAATAGTTAGTCATAGTAAGCGGAGGACAAAGTAGTAATTTTCTTGATTCACCACTTTTGGTAGATAATCCCCGTTTCGGAGGCTTGGTTCACAAATCCTATGGTATAAAACTTGTGGGCACAAATGCAGATATTGAGATGGGGAGGGGAAAACGTATTTGCATAAACTAAAGGGCCAAAGTTAAGTTACAATGGGCAAAAAAAAAAAAAGCGGTGTTACGGGTGCTCAGTCGAGGTTACAAAGGGTAAAGGGCGGAAACAGGATCTACAGTCGTTGCAAGATGAATATTCGCACTCACGTTTGCCACCCCCGGGCAGCTTTACACACACAAAAAAACAAACAAAAAAAAACACTTAAAGCTTGAATTCGGAAAATGGCGCATTCTTGAGGAATGCCAAATGAGTATTTACATTAAAATAATATATTACGTTTTCTGTCAAAACTTAGCCGTAACATTATTTGAATTTCTATATTTCGTGGGGCACCAGAATGTAGACGGCTTTGAGCCGGATTTAGGTTTTTTATATAAGGGAAGGGGATACACAGTTTGAATGACGAATAAAGACTCACATGTTATATTAACCACAAACGCTTTTACTGAAAGGCTTCCCTCGAGAATTAAGACTTGTTATTGTCAGCTTGAAACACAAGAAACCACCATGTAAATTTACCAGAAAAAAAGCGTGACACTCTTTTGTACAGCTCGGTGACAACCGCTGCATTCTTTGCTGTTTCGATAATATAAAAATTGATGACTTGCACATATCGCTGCAGCTTTGGTTCGCACAGTGGTGATAGGTAATCGGAAACTCGGAAACCAAGGTTTAAAAAAATAGTAATGGCTACAAGTGATTTTATTACTTCTAAAATTAATTGAATTACTTTTGCGATCACTGCTTAATAAAAGTAATTAAATTATTACCAAATACACAAAACATTAAATGACTACAAGGTATTTGATTGCTTTTCAATAGTACCGCAAAGGTACTACAATAGCACCGCTTCCAGCACGTGTTCATTGCCTTCCCGCGGGCTGTAACTACGCGTACGCATCGAAACTTTTTTGGGCACGCCGATCGCATCAATAGCCGGCCGTGACTGCTGACAGACGAAGCAGATCAGAGGAACGGGCCACATGTAGCCTACGCCTAACGCAGTCGGCTAAGTAGCGAGCTGACTAAAAGAGCACCGTCGTTTTGCAAGACAGTATGGAATTGACTTTTTTCCGGCGTTGTGAAGCATGACCTCGTGCCGAATCCTGGGCTACTTAACCGTCCTTGGCTTCTGCGCTCCGCCATCTTTGAGTATTTGGCTGCGGACCGCGTTCCAATAATGGGAAGAATGAGAAGTCGCTTTCTTGTGCAGAATATGAGACGCCACCAACGTGTTTCTAGAGAAGTACTTGACGTGTTTTCCTAAGCGGTAGAAAAGCGTATGCTGGCTCCGATTTGTAGCATATGGGAATGAAGACTTCAAGGTCAGAATAACTATATATCTGGAGTTCGAAGTTGTCAGCGGAGCGTCATTGATGCGTTGATTATAGCCTGCTTAAAATTTTGATAACGTGTGGCTTGTATAATTTTTCGTTTTGTCAAGTTCGTATCTCCGCTGAGACATGATGTCCGGGCAAAACTTCGTTGAGTGGCATCTCAGAGTAAACATTTTTAACCTGAGACTGTACTACACTATAGGACGTGGCGCCGGATTTCTAGAGCGAATAGAACCAGCTTGAGTCCTGGACCATGACTCAAAAGTACCGTACATGGAGCTCATGCTTTAATTAAAGAGGTTTGTAAGTGAAAATAACAACCAACCTTTTCGCATCCCTCAACGGAAAACGTCACTCCCTTTAGCACCTCGGGTAGAACCCCCGGTTTGTAGGACGTTGAGTAGTCCTCAAATTCCACTCGACCTTCACTGGGCCAGCTTTCCTCTGCCTGTAGAGCTACTCCTCCGCGTGAGCCTTGATTCACGTGCTTTGGATCCCCGTTCGTTATCAGCTTTTCGACTTGTTCCTGTGAAGATCAGGTATTTCAGTTCTCGCGTTTACTCGTTTCTTTAATGGTGGAGTTTACTAATTCCAGTGCCAGTGTGACTATATAGGTTTCTAGACCCCATACCCAATCGATGCTCGAAAGGTTGCTCAGGTGTAACAAATAATAATTATGACGATAAGAAGAGATTCAGGGCGGAGCCAAACTCATAACATTTTTCTTCATTTTGAAGAAGCTGGGCCGAGGTCTTCCACCTGCGGGGGGAAGACACTTTTTGAGTGTCTTCCACCCACAGGCGCTGGCGTCGACTGATTTGACAGCTTTCAAGCATCTTTTGAAATAGCGTCATTGCTACTTGTGATTAATGTATAAGTTGTATCACGAAGGTTCCACTACATCCACAGTGTTTTATGAGATGTTGTGATTAAAGTGAATTCCACGGGCAAGTATAATGACATTACAAGATTAAGATTGAATTCGACGTAGGCAATTTTGGCGAGATACCATCCTACTGTCGACAAACATTCTAGCCATCCTCATGAAACTTGGGAAGTGAGGCATGTTTTATTGGCAACTCGGCGTTGCCGAATATATGGAACACCACTGTGATTAACTACGACACTTGATTGACCCTATACCTAGAGAGAAAGATACAATCCGCGCCTACCTGAAAGTTGTCGGAAATATGTCTACAACATCAATGTACATTCTGGCGCCCAAGGTTCTTATTGGTTGATAAATTTTAAAACTGCGAGAATTAAATGGAAGGGCTCACCTCTTCCGGCAGCTTTGTATATTCGACGGTGCGCTCGAAGCACACAATTAGTTGAAAGAGTTGGAAAAGGACCATGCACAGGGACATTAATGTCATTGGTATCTAGAAAGAAAATAGTATTTGAAATTATTAACTTTGCCAAGGGCATTGCACTGGTAAGGGTCTGATAAAACAATACTCGGTAAAAGCTTGAACACCTGCATATTGCTGAGTCAAACAAACACCCGCGGGTTGGGAGCCAGGAATTTAATTTTTACCTTGAAATTTAAAAGGAAGGAGCAGGTTTTTGTCTATAATATATTTTCATCTAGGAAACACGAAAAATCAAAACTCGCCCCATTCCTTCTTTCCGAACAATATCAAAACCCCTGCGGAAATACGGCGCGGATACCTGATCCGCTGTAGCCAGCTCTACGGCCGGCCAGTTGACGAAAAAACAGGTAATCACAGGTTGGTAGTCACCGCGACCCCAGTGATACCGCCCCCTCTTCTACTGTTGTCATATCAGTAACCAACCACTGTGATCGTGTTGCAGAACAACATTTCTCGACGGCTTTTGTGATTATTTTTGTTGCTGTGTCAGCGACACTGCAATATATTGGCGGAAATTAACCCGAATCCCAGCAGTCAGAATCGCGTTTCAGGCACTGTGCCACTGCTCTGATAAACGACGATTAGTATTGCGACGATCTGACCCACTTCTATAGATGTTCCACCGTGACGTCATTCACTGCTTTTCCGTGAGAAATGTTAATTCATTTATTTATGTATTTATGTATACAAAATACCCCTAAAGGCCCTCTGTATGAGGGTATTACATAGGGGGGGGGGGGCAAGCAATTATATAGTACACAGAAAAAACACAAAAATTATACAAAGACAATATGGAATAAAAAAGAACTTTAAGTATTAGTATAACTACGAACGAGCTCTTGAAAGTTAGACATATCTAGTTCAGTTGCAATGTGAGCCGGTAGGTTATTCCTGTTATTTATGGACCGCGGTTTAAATGGTCGTGCGTCACTAGATGAGTGACATGTGATGCGCGCTACTTTGAATGAATGATCGCGACGTGGAAAAATAATGTGTGGCGTTTTAAAGAAATCGTAGTGAAGCGATGCATGGTGATAGAGCTTGTGAAGCAATGGCAAACGAGCAGGTGTACGGCGGCGTGATAGGTCATGCAACTCAGCTTGAGTTTTTTTAATGCGGTGACACTGGCAAATGGAGAGTAGTCAGAGAAAATGAAACGTGCAGAACGGATTTGCAGGGACTCGATGTTACTTATAACGTAGGCTTCGTCAGGATCCCATATGGCAGAAGCATACTCAATTTTGGGGCGGATTAGAGTGATATAAGCTAGTTTAAGTAAGGGAGCTGGTGCTTCTTTAAGATTGTGCTTTATGAATCCATGGAATGCATGTGATAACCAAACTCATAAGATTGCGTTCTATGGGCACTGACATATAAATATAACCCTGGATGCGCTCACCGCCAGAGATGAACTGAGCGTCAGGCCAACACTGCTGGACTTGGAGTCTCCCTCCGAAGGTAACCGAGTGGCGGATATGAGTGTTGCCAGCACAATTACAAAACCCAGGAGGCTGGTCAGAACCTTCGACACCCGGAAGCAAGCCAGGTATCCGTAGTTCATCCGCATGTTGCTATCGGTCAATCGGCAGAAATGCTTGCAGAAGCGTTGCACGGCTCCGTAAGCCCGTATAGTGCTCAACGACTCTATGGTCTCCGTAGCGTGTTGCAAGACCTTGGACACTTGGGCACTTTCTTCGAATCGGACGCAGTTGGATGCCTTTATGGCAAGAGCCTGAAGGAAGACAGAAACGGTAAGTGAGCAAAGTTTCAGACGGCGGTGCTGCCTCAGGCAGCACTCCATAAAACGACTAACTTGGCCCAAGTTCGGCAATACTACGAACGAAGCTTGGGCCTCGTAAGAGGTTCCTCCAGGGCGTTAATTAGTGGAAAACCACCTTTTTTAATTTTTTTCGTGTCTGTGTTTCTTTTTTTTTTGGTTCGCTACACGGTTGTTAAAGTGCAAGACATGAGCAAAATAAGCCTCGTATCGACCGAACAGCCAGCAGTAAAGCCTAATTGTGGCACTAGATACAATTCATTTCCAGGGATGCCAGGTGAAGAGCAGACAATCTGGCAGTGAAGCCTAACTTCCACACTTACTTGATAACTTAGGTCATAAATATCCAACTCTGGCCAAACAGCATAAAGCTTGGTTATGCATTGGCTATTTTGGGCTTTCAGAACCTTAGTTTGACGGACAAAGAGCATATTTTAGCAAAATAAACTATGCTACTTGGGGCACCACCCCTTCCTTGAACATGGGAAATCAGCGTTTAACTGCTCGAGATCTCTGAACAGGCACTCGCTGGAAAGCTCATATGATAGGACCGATACTAATCAACTTATACCTCGGAATGCGCAGTGAAGAATCGCGGAGCACGTACCATTCCCACAGCCATAAGTGTGGCGGCGACCAGCGCCACCGCCAGCACAGGCGGCGTCTGACTGCCAACGATGGACAGTCTGGACAGTGTTATCAGTAAGTCTTGGATCCCACACTTTCCGCTCAGGTACAGTCGGCAGTCGATCGACTCCAAGTCAACTGTGAATCGGTTCAACACTCTTGCCCGAGGCGTGGAGTCGAAAAACGTCACTGAACTGTGCAGGACGTGACTCAGCATCGACTGGTGCAAGCTTATGGACAGCCGACGATTGCTCAAAGCGAACAAAATACCTCCGATGCTACGGAACAACACTGAAAGAAAAAGCATTTCTAAATATTTTCTTTTTAGGCAATCTCCACTCGGTCTTTACCTCAATGACCGAAGTTAGCAAAATACCAGTGGCCTTTATTTTTTTTAAATGCCGGTTCACACAGCACCGTCTTTGTACGCTAGGTAGCTTATGTACGCTTACGTCGATATACGACTTGAAGTCACCGGAACATTAGCGCATCCTGCGAAGCGTTGCAACCGGTTAAGGGGCCTCCAAACCAAAAAAAAAAAAAAAAATGACCGCATCTCCACGTGGTAAATGATGTTGATTGGGGCGAAGCTCTGGTGGTGCTGATGATACTGATTTTGCGATTATATACGCATTTGACCGCAGCGCCCTCTCCTGTATAGACGTTGAGCGGCTACATGCAACGGTTCATCCATGACAGAAACCTCAGCTCTTGAGTTACTACCATATCTCAGAGCCCCCTACTCGTCCCGCAGTCGTGGCCGAGTGGTTAAGGCGATGGACTAGAAATCCATTGGGGTCTCCCCGCACAGATTCGAATCCTGTCGACTGCGCAAACATTTCTTCTTCTTTTTAAGAAGACAGATGGGATGGCAACCGATGTAAACACCAACGCCAGACGGACAAGGTTAGACCCTTGTCCGTCTGGCTTCTTCGCTAAATGTCCATGCTTTCCGTTTTTTTTTTTTTTTTTTTGTTTTTGTTTTTTTTTTAGTTTGGAGATTTTTTTAGAGGAGTAGCTTGGCTCGCGTAATACCAAGCACGAACGCGCCCGTTACCTGCGGTCGTGTTTTAATGTTATAAATATAAGATTTATAACGTGAAAAAACGGTGCAGTGTGAACCAGCCTTGAGTCTCATAAATAATGCACGGAATTCAGTACGAAAAGAGCAAATGCTACATATTGTTTTTAGAAGACATTGAATTGATTTTTTTTTTCGGGAGTATACAGTATACAATTTGTTTATTTACCCGCTCAATGTTGCATAAACAACGACATAATGATAGCACGTTACACAATTATTTTAAACCAGGACATCCTGCGATAATATGACGTTGCGTGACGTCGATTGCTACGCTACTTTCAGCCGGAAAATTTCCAGCAGATTTCTTTCACTAGATTTATCATATTGCATGCCCTATCGGGCACGCAATATGGTTCTGTCACGCGACATGACGTCGCTCGATTCGGTCACGTGAGCTGAGGTCACACTTAGTGTCACGGGAAGTATCGTCAGGGTATCAGTTCGTGATGTCACTAGATACCTTGGCATCAAGAGGCACCAATTTGCCACTAAATTTAGAAGGACAAATGTACCGCCGTTCTGGGGTTATGAGTGTCGTTAAAAGGCATTCCATGCATCAACAGGTCAGGCTCCTCACGCAGCCATAATAACATATATTCTTCAAGAACAGTTCGGCGCACTCGCTCGCCCTTCTCAGGCAGCGCCGAATGATCACACTGCGGTTAGTGGAGAGAAAGGAAGTTGTGCCACCTCTCGTGCCTCAAGTACGACTCTGGTGAGTCGCGAAAGGGGCAGGAGAGGTAGCCAGACCTCTCTAATGGACGCGAATCGCGCTTCGAGCTTTCGCCACTTAATGTCTTCCTTATAGAAAAAAAAGGGCCATTGCCTTCTTTATGTGGGGAATTAAAAACACGTGTACGTATTCTAAACAGCACTGCTAGCGCTAACATGTAATATCCGCGCTTTTGCATTTTACTTATAAGGGCTAAATTGGCTAATGAGATACAATGTGGCGGTCAATATATCTTAACGGGTATGACTGTGTCCCAATGTGCGCTCTTCTCCAAACAAGCCGTTTTTGTGTCAAGCCTTGAACACCAATGGACACTAAATAAAATTTAAAAAAATCCGGCAGTTTCTTGCTGGTGTAATGGCAGAACGAACTCGAAGGACTAAATCGTGATTTTCGTTGGCGGACCGTGTATCACGTGACTATTATTTCACCGATTTCCGCAAAGCGCGCTTCGTCCGTGGACGAGCAAATTAAAATAGAAAAGAGCCTTTCAACATGATATTTTTTGGCGGGGATTGATTTAACGAGCGTTTAGTCTAGCAACAGCATCATATTTGTATTTTTCCGGATGAGCGAAACAAGGGTAGCGCATCATTGTGTTTGGCCCATCTGCTGGCCCATATTTTCGCACGATTTCTGACTCCTCGCGTGAAAGAAGCTGGTACTTTGTTCGGCTGACGCGCTGCAGGTTCCGGCTCTTCTCGAGATTTGCGTCAAAAAACTTTTTTGGAAACTTGCCTAGTATGCCGCGATCTTTACTGAACGTCTTTCGAGCGTTTCATTCTGTTTTTAGGCCCTGACGGCGTAAGACAAAACCCAGCTTTGTGTTCACTTGATGCCATATTTATTCTCTGTCTTGCTCGTTAAGTCAAGACTGGTGGCGATGATGAAAGATTGCAGCTTAGCTAGTTCTGCGCCTGGTGGCTCGAGCCTCTTGTATCTTGTATCCTCCTCCGTTTTTTTAACAAACTGTAGTACATGAGATAGTCTTCCAAGCGCTTCGAGAGAAGTCTAATTCAACTCAGCATTCAACTTGGACCGACGGTCACTGCTCTGTGAGACTGGAGGCTTGTGACTCATCCACCGTCCTCTGAAGTCTGAACGGGGAGTGTTGTGCTGGAGAGAGTGTTCCTGCTTGCTCCTGAAGTCTTGGGCGGGTTTTATTGCCTTGTTGTGTTTCATCACAGCAGCTGTGCTCGTCTCACCTGTACTCGATTTCACCTCAGGTTGCCACCGTTGACTTTCATTTTCTAGTACCTTACACCAACCTGATGAGTGACGATGCTTTTTTTTTAGTGCCTCCTGGTCCTTGAAGGGTTGGACTCTTATTGTTACTCCTTTCTTCAATGATTAAAGTTTTTTTTACTGCGTCGGTTGGAGTAAAATTAAGCAGAATCTTCATTGAGCTCTCCTTGTGATTGACAATTTAGGATTCTTGAGTTGAGCTGTGTTCAAGTTAAAAGGTGAATCGTTCTTGTTCTTCTGACCATCAGCACATGAGGCGGGCTGGCTCTCATTCCTCGAATGGGAGTGATACGGTCGTACAAAAAACGATTCACGCACTTGCGTTAAGTCCGACCGAGAGTGACTGCAATCGGTTTTAAGCCTCTTGCGGCAGCTGTAGACCGGGCCGCGCATCAGAGATGGCGGTCGTAAGCGTCTTAAAACTCCGTTGCTATAGCAACCCGTAAAAAGCTTAACGTTGCAGTAGCACTCAGTATGACTCACGCAAGTTTGTGAACGAGCCTTAAGAATACCAGCTGCGGGCCGTTACCACTCACCGGCGATTTCTTCAAGAGTATGTTTGCAGTCATTAAAGCATATTCCGCCATTCCACTAAACTGAGGGCGGCGGGTAAATGTTTGATGCATGAACTGCACTCATCAGCAAAGCGAGCAAATTCAGCAGTTAAAAATTGTTGCCCGTTGTCGGTGATGCATGCTGCAGGTATTCCATACTAGGTCAATTGTGCTCTTTGTTTCCTGATGACGACTGCCGAGGATGTAGAGTACAGCTGACCTATATCCAGAAATCCGCTGTAATATATAGTCCTTTGTGCGAATAAAATATTTTTCTTGGTGTTTTATATGATTTATAAAACTCGTTCCCTTGTTGCAGGGATGGGCAGTATTTCAAATACAAGTATTTGAAATACGTATTTGAAATAGTTTGTGTATTTTGCATTTGTATTTAATTACAAATTGGGTCATGTATTTGACGTGTGTATTTAAATACTAAAAGGAGGGTATTTCAAATACAGTTGTAATTAAATACAATTTTGTGGGCGAAAATACCTCCCTCAAATTTATTGTCACTGTCCAGAGCAGGAAGAAAACTACGTTCTGCACCGAATGCAGTGTCTCTCAATCAAGCACAAGCGTTTAGTGACTTTGTGATTACGGTGCTAGTCCAGGGCAAGAATAGTGACCAAATCGACGTTCACAGGCAGACTGGCTAAATAAGTGCCTGTGACAACTTGTGATGCTTTCCAGCCTGATCTCCATTCATATTTTTGCCTGGAACATTCTAAATGCGCGGGTTGTCTAGATTTTCGTAACTGGTGCGAGTTGCAACAAAAAAAAATTCTCTAGCTAGTGCTGCGCGTCTTGGTCGTCTCGGTTCTTTGTTGGTCTCTCTATACCAAAATGTAATCAACAAAAACGCTGCTTGAAGCTTTGTACTTTTTTCACCTATTACGTCCAAGCTGATTACATTTTTTTTGTGATTATATTTCTATTACGTTACTAGAGCCTCGCACACTAACTCCCGAGTGTGCGATGCAAAATTAAAATGAGATACCCAAAAACCCATTGCAGGTGCATGCCCTGAAGTCGCTGACGCAAAGTTGGAGGAATGTATTTGGAAATGTATTTGGAGGGAGACCAAATACATTTGGCTGTATTTGTATCTTGTACTTAAATGGTTTTTTTGAAGTGTAATTAGATTTGTAATTAAATACATTTTTGACAAAGTATTTTGTATTTGTATTTCGAAACATATTTGCAAGTATTTTGCCCATCCCTGCCTTGTTGCTAGGGGTGGTTAGACGTCGGGTCTTGCTTCATAGATATCTGCTGTCTAAAACTACTTCGGCATACTGACATTTCGCGATCCGTTCCTTGATCTCGACGCTCCATGAAAGCCAGCCAAGGCATTCTCTTAACCTTCTTAGTGAAATTTCGATTCCGAGGTGCAAAGAGTGCAGCCTTGTCGTAATCTCTACTCGCATGCTTTTGGGGATCACAACAAGTTCACCTGTGTAGACCATTCCAATATGAGTGGTGAGCTCGTCTCTGAATGTGAAGTACTATGCAACGTCCGGTGTGAGTTTCTTGTCGTTCTGACATCCCCTCTGAATGATATCCAGCAACTTGAACAGCGTTTCATCTTACGCTGAGGTTCTCTGAATCTGGTCAAGTGTTTCCTCTTTTACACGTTGGCGCACGATGACATTCACTCCCATGTACTCAAGACTTCCTTCGGTTTCAGGAGAAATAACTTCTACCTCGACTCCGCGATTACGAGTTCACTTCCTGCCTGATACTCAACTTTGATTTCACACTTCTGTGCATGCAGAAGCAAACCTTGTAGCCTTTGAGGCACATTGACGAGCTATTTATTTATATTGGTCTTTAAAGTCTTATGATCAGTGATCTCATCAGTGTGTCGACCAAATGTCTGGAGGAACTTCAGTGCATACACAATCACCAGCATTTATTTATTTACTTTTTATTTAAAATTTTGGTTACTTGTGATGACGTTCAGAACAGCACCGCGCTGTCAACTTAAAACTTTATTTGTTTCCCGTTCATATGTAGTGTTGTAAAGATTGGCACCTTGGCCTTCTTGCGCATGGCAAGGGCAATTTTGGAGCTTTAATTAACTTCCAGATTTGTAACACTCTTGGCTCTGAACTGTGATGCAAATTTCTTTTTTTTTTTTTTACATTTGTTGCAAATCCTTTTTCCACGCTGGCCATGCTTCCTTCGTCTGTTCATGGCCTACACCAAACTGCCCGCATTTTCGTTGTTGCAATCACTGTTTCGGCGGTTTCTGGCTGCCACTATCCTGGCGTGTCTCTTTCTTCACTCCATGCAGACTGTCGGTTGCGGCAGCTCCGTCTTTGAGAGCTTTCATTTGGGACGTCGTTGTTTTTTGTGCCAGACGGATCTTCGCCCCTTTCTAAGTGCCGGTTTATCAATCTCCAAGATGTCTACCCGTGCTTAGTCATCGTTCGTCACGACGACGATTTGATCTGGGATCATCCTGTCCCGTTCCTTCTTAAAATTGCAGTCTCGTGCCTTCAGCCTGAAATCCATGAGAAAACTATCGAACGCCTCTTGCTGTTGCATGCGGCAGCCGAACACCTCGTTTTGTAAGCCACCTCGTTTTGTTTCGGAGAAAAATGTATCTTCAATTTCGAGAGAACGTCCACATCATTGAGCTCTAGATGCGGTAGTTGCGCTGTACCGGTTCCGTTATATACGCGCTGGCCCTCGAACGGCCAAAAGTATGGCAACCTTCTGCTAGTCCGACGTACTCGCCGTTGCTATTGTCTTCAAATAGACATCGAGTGCTTTTCTGAAAACCCGCAACAGCTCAGCAGCTTTTCCGGCAGCGAAGAACTTCGGTGAAGCCGCCCATTCAGTTCATTTTCTCTTCTTTTCTTCTCAACGCAGAGATGTCCAGTCACTCTCGTTCAAAGTGTCTCGTGTGACACATCACTGGTCGATTTCTGACACAGTGTTTTGATGGCGCGATAGCGAAAGACGAACAAACGCATCGTGTCCGCTTCACAAAATGTTTATTGTCTGTATGCGGAGTGCAAGTCGTCTGAGTTTCTTGCGCAGGAGTTGCGGTGACTTCAGAAAGACGCCGAGCACTGATTGGCTCCGATAAAAGGATAGTAGGTAGAGCTCAAAACAGTCTGCCCTGAGGTCTACCCACTATAATTAATTCAGAACCAATCAGAGCTCGGTGTTCTGACGTAACCGCAACCCCTGCCAAAGAAGCAGACGAATTTGCGCTCTACATTGCTGTGAGAGACCGGTGGTAATCGTGAGGATTACTTCTTAGCTGGCGGTACATCTGGCGGCTCGACCCTCTTGTGACACATCCAGCAAGACCTTTTTTTGTCTGTAGTGTACTGAAGTGTTGCACATGAGCGCGCGGGGCACGAGATCACCTGCAAATGCCCCTTTGAGTACGCCGTCACATTCGTATGAAGCCTCCTCGAGCAGAATCATACTCGTGTCTTGCCCTGCGTGACAGAAGCTAGGGGCGTTATGTGCTGAGCTTACCCGAGTTTTGTCTCACTCGGTCGGTAGCAGCGACACATAACGATATTTTTCTTCATAATAAAATAATGTGGTGACAGGAGCGACAAATGTCGCTTTCGCTCTTGGACGGTGCAGTCACAGTGCGTTCTTGGCGTTAAAAGGCGCTGCAGGGTCACGAAGTGGTTCGGTTCCTCCTCGCTGTGCTCGTATGCTCCTCCACGTGAATGCGCTCGGGAAAAGGAGAATCCGCGGATATGTCACTGCGTGAGAATCTCGCTTTGTACATTTAAGATCAGTTACTTGGTGTTCTATTAAAACCTACACACATGAAACGCAAAAAAAAATAAGACCGTTCTTCTTTTCTAAATTGTATCTTCTGACAGCTACTGCGCGCAACATGTGAACCACGTCAGTGAACCACTTCAGTCGACAACGAGCATACTTGAAACGCTTCTTCCGCATCAACAATCTCGTTCTTGTGCAAGGTTGTCCAGTGCGCATGTGTTTTTTTTTCCTTGTTTTAGATATTTTAAATATAAAGCATTTTTCACTTTATCTTTTGTCACAAAGGCGCGGCAGAAAGCGACTACGCTTCACAAATATTCCACAAACTCTGGCAATATATATATATATATATATATATATCACGAAAGCTCCCACCGTCACCCCGCCGGAATTCGGACTCGACCGTAGCATTGTATAAATACCACCCGCGTTCATCTGTAAAAGTTCTACCTGACGAAGGCCGGACCCCGGCCAAACTGTCAAAGAGTAAACCGTCCGTTATTGCTGTTTTCACCAGGGGATTTCTTTTCTTTTACATATATATATCGGCTTCTGATTTCCCTCTAGGTTTGCGTAAGACATGTTCAATTAGTTTTTCTCGCAGTTGGCCGACATAAAACATGTGTGCTGTGTCTAAATAACTTGAGAATAAAGCTCCTTGCCCAGTGAACGTTTCAATTTTTGTCTGTTTCCGACTAAACGTGATGCAGTTTTTGTTTCTAAATAAACCTGAGGCTCTCCTTCGCTACAAGTATTGTAACGTTTAATATATTTCGTTATTACCATCTTTTATGCTACTAATCTAGTGCATTAGTTTTCTCATAACTGAACTCAGGGCATTCGGATTGGTGTTTCTCCCCCCCCCCCCCCCCCCCCTTTTCTGTAATACATATCCCTTGGGAATGTTTTCGAACCAAATAACTTTGACAAAAACTTGAGCTTGAACTTCAACTTGAACTTACCGTCTAACAGGCACAGGGCCACCAGACCTCTTACCCACGACGGACTGTGAGGATCGACGGTGCTGCCTTCGGAGTTAGCATCCGTCCACTCTTTAATCCAGAGTTGTTGCCACGCGAGTGCCACTGCACTTGCAACAAAGAAGATCATGCCAACTGGCACGCAGAAACCTGCAAGCTTGCATAAGGTCCACACCAATTCTGCCGTCCCCTGCAACGTGTATAACGGATATCGAGTCACCTCACTAGGCCAGGCATTGTGCCCAATAAGGCATAGTACTTTCTCCATTCAGCTGAGGTTGCTTTATCAATGTACGTAACAAAATTAGATAAACTAAGGTACAAAAGAAATCAGGGCCAAATGTACCAGAAGAAAAAAAAGGGGCGAGAAGAATGTGAGAGAGCGTCGGGAATTAGAACTTTGAGATTTCATTAGAAGGATCGTTGGTGGAGAAAAAGACAGAGAGCATTTACGTCTGCCCAGTGTAATCATTTTAATCAGAGCTCCGCAATCTGACTTCCCTACGCACTCTCATTTTCTCCTCTATCTCTCAATTCCTCTCCGCATAAGTAAATGGTAAGAGCGAACTGATGTCGACAGAGACATGACTTCGTCTCCCATGCAAGATTACGTGCCCCTGTCCTATCTGACATCGGTGTTTTTTACTTAGTCAGATCTCTAAGAAAATGGACGGAAGCCCATTTTATTAGCACGTTCCAACTACGATGTGACCACTCTGGAAGTCGGTCGCCAAAACGCCAAGGCTGCAATCGTTTTGGGTTGCGTTAGCTTGAAACGTATGAGACAAAAGTTGATTATTTGCGGCCACAAGTGTGTATATATATATAAGTCAAAGATACGTATTTTCGGAGTTGCTATACTAGGAAGTTTATTGCATATGCCACGACAGTTTCGCCGAGAGGCTCTGCTTTGTCAGGAGGTGACATACAAGTGAGGACATCAGACTGAGCAGAGCGGTAAGTAGCCAATCAGACGAGAAGGACGTGACGTCTGACAAAAAGTAAAAGGTAAAAAGATAAATAAATCAAAGCAAAAATATGGAAGCAGAATCAGGCGTCCTGTACAGGGCGAAAAAAATTGGCTCAAGCACGCTGCCGCTCTAGGGCGGCGGAGTTCAAAGCTCAAAAGGCGTCTAAGACATCTTCGACACTGCGCTTGATACAATAAGTATACCTCTTCAGCTTTCAACTCCGCCGCCCTACAGTGGGAGCGCGCTTGAGCCACGTTTTTTCGCCCTGTGCGGGACGCCTCATTCTGCTTCCCTATTTTTGCTTTGATTTTATTTATGTTTACCTTTTACTCTTTTTTTTTTTGTTGACGTCACGTCCTTCTCGTCCAATTGGCCGGTTACCGCTCTGCTCAGTCTGTTGTCCTCACTTGTATGTCATCTCCTGACAAAGCCGAGCCTCTCGGCGACGTTGTCGTAACATATACAATACACTTAATAGTATAGTTAACTTCGAAAGTACGTATCTTTGACTTTCTGCATTTTCCCGGTCCATTGTTCTCAAGCTACTCTGCCTGACAGACATCAGTCCAAAACGAATGCAAGTCACAAAACTTGGGACGAATGGCCATCACTTGCTCTCCTCTAAATTTGCAAGTATAGCTTCGAAAACAAGGGTGAATTCAATCTGCCTTTATTAGTCATGACTTTCTTTTTCGTCTCGCCCGAGAGTGAGGGCCAGTCCTAAACTAATGCAACTCACGAAAGTTGGGACGAATGGTCATCACTTGCTTTCCTGTAGATTTGCAGGTATAGCTCTGACGATAAGGGTACATTTAACCTGTCTTTATTTTGATGATAACTGACAGAAGTAGCCCGCATGAAATATGAAGAGTTTAACGAGGTTTTCATGCGTGTGCCTAAATCCTGTACTCTGTCGCGTTTGCACTCGACGAGTCTTCTATTGAGTCCCACCTTCCACTTCTTGAGTTCAATACCCAGACACGCTGTTGAGGGTGTCCTTCGGTGATCTGCCTTTTTTATGATGGTGAGTGTAAACCGGTATTGGTTTATGTGTCTAAAATGTGGTCCTGGCCAGTTACCTCGGCCGAGGCTACGATCACTGAATAAATTAGATGTTTGCAGCTTCCAGCTTGATGTCAAAAAACTTCAGAAATTGAGGTGATGTCTAATTAATATTTTACGAGCGGCGCAAACGGCATTGGTACGGGTATGGTACTGACTGGGTCGTATTACTGGTGATAAACGATAGGCATAATAGCGGCACCGAGCGCCAATTTTTTACGCGAATTGTCAAAAACTTGTTTAAAACTTTTCGTCGCCAGACAATTTCATCATACTGAACAAAGTGGAGTAATACTTATGTGTTTAAAATGCGATCATAAATCGAGGTAACTGAATAATTAGATTACGTTCACAAAAGATCGGAGGTTGTAGATGCCCATTTCGGTCGTCCCTTTCTTCCCGTAAAATATCTGGTACCGTTCGCCGTATTCTATTGCAGATTGTAGTCGATCAATGCCCGCATCATGTGTGCCATGGAAGGAAATGGTGCCTCATTTAGTATCTGTGTGGTATATACTCTTGTGTAGCAGCGGCGTTGGTGATACTTTTATGTTTACAAAAAAAATTGATAAAACATGTTGAAGTTCATTGCAACAGTATTCCGTGTTCTAAAATGTGCGCCAATCTCGTGGAACCGCCGTTTTTTATTCTTGTATCATCCCCTATGACTGCTGGAATTCGCTAAGATAATGCAAACTCTTTATGTCCCCTAATTTTCAAGCTTCATTTCTCGCCAGCTCTTACTCGATGTCACTAAACCTCAACATCGTACATTCCGGTTTGCTGCACTTCGTTTTAGCTTACGTCAGAGCTCCTGTCCTGCTACGAAAGTGATGACCCAACTGAGCAGCCCCAAAAGACAAACGTACCTCCTTTATTCAACTTTCGTTGCGTTAACTTTATGCTGTATTTAACCAAATCAATTCGGCAGGTTGATTGAGCCGTGCCATTCATTTGTCATTTTTGGTTTCGTGCGTCTGTTTTCAGACTCTGACTTCCTACAGACTTACAAACACACAAATATTGTTCGGATGACACTATATCCTGAATATCTGCCTACCATAGATGATGTCGTCGATTCCTCATTTATGACCCTTCCTCTTGACTGGTCTTGATTGGACATCGTGTGTTCCAAGCTGCAAGGGACACAAGTGTTTCTTCAATTACTTAGATGCATGCGCAGTTTGAAATAATGTTTGTAAACGGCGCGCGTTAGCAGCAACGAGGCACTAACATTGATGCTTTAAGGGTTATAATCCTAAAGAATATCCGTTCTTCATTTTCTAGCTCCGAAATACTAGTTTTAGCAGAGTTTAGTTACAAACTTGATAAGTGTTTTAGTTCCTGTGCTAATTATGCCCTAGCGTTACCACAGTGCCATTTGGAAGTACTATTTTATGTAAAATAATAATTTAAAAAAATGTCTGTTAGGTCAAGTCAGATTTATCAAACGTTTTGATAAACCAATTAAGAATTTCTGAAAGTTCAGAAAGGTTCGTTATAGTTTTTTTCTGATGGATCGGAACTCTCACATTTTAACACTAGAGATGGAGAAGCAGAAGGACAGAGCAGCACAAATCTTCATTCTCTTTAAAGATTCTCGAATCTTTTCTTATTTTTTAAATTCATGAATCTTTTCGGAGATTTGTGTTGTCCTGTTCGCTTTTCCTAACTGTTCAGGGTTAAAAATGTGTGTTCTTAAACATCTCGCTTGCCTACTTGCATTAAGTTCACTAAAGTCTGAACGGTTTGTCAGGAAGTTTTTCATGAGAGCACGTGACCGTAAAAGGAACACTAAAATTTAAAACAAAAATATCTTAGGGCCAATATAGGACCCATCTTTTTTGGAAATTTTACCGCGAAGAGAAAAAAAAGACGTTTACAAACCTCTGTAACGCGAAATTAGCGCGCAGCTCTTGACGAGGAGGTAAGGGTACAAAGAAGGAGGGTGTTCCTCCTCCTGCCCCCTCCTCCTCCCGTTCTCCTCACTTCCTCCTTTGCTGCTCGTCCTCCCCTGCTCTCCTCCTCCTTCTCCTTTCCTCCTTTCATCCTCCTCCTCTCCTCCTCCTTCTCGTCCCTCCACCTCCTCCTTCCATCCATCGTCCTCTTCCCTCCTCCCACTACCCCCTCCTGCTCTCCTCCCGCCCCTCCGTACCTTCCCCTCCTTCTCCGTACTCTCCCCGCCTCCTCCTTCGTACACTCCCATCCTCCTCCTCCGCGCCCTTCCCTCCTCCTCCTTCATTCCCTTTCCTCCTCAAACAGTGTCCCCGCTAAATTCAGCTGCTGAGGGGGGTCCTCAAGATCCCCTTAGCAGCCGCTTTGAAAGCTAGAATGAAAGCGAGCGGTATACGATACAGTGGCCTTTCTGTTTGGAACGAGTGTGTGTAGTTAAAAATAAATCTTGTGTTTTGTTCAACACTAATCAATATCTCTGAACGCCAAGAAGCAACGATCCCCAGGTGCATGTGAGCACGTGCTTGTAGGCCAGTTGGGAGGACAGACTAGAAGAAACCCCCTCTGGCATATGCTGTAACATAGCCTCCTCTATACTCTCAAAAGGGAATTGTAGCAGACCGTTTTTCTCCTCCGGTACGATATCCCCGAAGAAAACGCCGCAGCTGCGCATGCGCGCCGCCAGCCTTGTCTGCATAGTTCAAGGTCTTGTGGCGGATCACCGAGCGCTATCCGGGTGCTTAGCGGGCTGCGGGAACGGTCTACTACAATTCCCTAAAGCCTGGCAGTTCGCCGACGGAGCTATTGAGTGCCAGGCCGCAGATTTGGAGCGCAAGAATCTGGGAGCATAGAGTATCAAAGAGCCATTTCACGAGGAACCTGGATGTCAGCGCACACCTTTTTGCAGCGGAGAGGACCCGAAACACACTTGTTCGCTCGGGAGAAGTGTGTTTCGACGTCTCACCGCAGCGGGGCGCCAGTCAAGTGGCTTTCCCCTCATCCGTTATCTGCCGCTCCACCATTTCCACTTCGGCGACCGCTTCTCGTGGCGATCTGCCAGACTGTCAGTACATAGGAGGCTATGGCTGTACCAAGCGTGCGAGGTGGACGCAAGCTTGGTCACCTAAGAACGGGCTCAAATGTGAAGCCCCCTCCTTTTTGTGCGTTTTGGTTTCGTTGTTGATTGATTATTGATGTCTTCACCTAAGCGTGTCCACCATACTCTTGAAATGCCCCTTTTATGTTTTGTTTCTGATGATGAAACGCGAAGAATAGAACGAGAACGGACCAAACGCGGCGAGCCAAAACGAAAAGGACGTTCGAAAATGGTGTCTTTGAGAAGGTCGAAACGACAACGGGCTCAAATGATAACCCTCCCCCTTTTTTTTCCGCGTTTTGTTTTTCTCGTTGATTCTTTATTGGTGTTTCCCCCTAGGCGCGTCCACCCCGCAAACACACAAAGAACTGCGTGGGGTCTGGCCCCTGTTCACGCCTGATCGTCTTAAAAGCTAAATGCTGAAGGCCAACCAGTTATGCGATTTGTGCCACGTGACTTCCCACTAACGGGTTCGTGATTTGAGTAAGTAAAATATCCGTCGGCGATGCGCCACAGGCAGGCAATGAGCAGACAGGGGAGCGCTGCCGAAATGGCTCAGACATCCAAGTCGCATTCTTAGAGATGAAAATGTTGGAGGAAGTTACAGTTCGGACCGGAGGGAATTCTCGTTAGTGGATTGTGAATGCGGGAAGGTAGACCGAGACGTTATGAAAAGGGAAGGAGCGAATAAGCAGTGTCTGACAGTATTACTCCTGTTTTTGAGACAAGATAGAACGGATGTAAACCTGTGACAGACGTGGATGCGTGCTAATAACTAATGATGGTGCTTTTCGATAAATACTTAACGGAATACTCGCTTTAGTTGTGACTATGTGCATTAATATTTAATTTGATGAACAAAAGAAAAGTTATTCTGTCGGATAGCAACTTTTATCAAGCAGCAGTCTACGAAACGTACCTGAAAGCAATTAGAGCATTTTGTTCTCATTACTAAACCGTTCAAATTAGCAAAAATAGCCCTTTAGCGGCATGAATCAGCCAGTGTGAAAATGTGGGAGCAGTGTTTTGTAGTTTGCCGAAGGTGAACTAGAATTGTTTCGAGTGGTCTGTGCGCCCGGCAGCGTTAGTAAGGGTAATGCCCAAATGTATTCGTCGCGTGTTCATGTGATGCCACTCTGTCTCGGTCGATCAGCGCAGGACACATTTGTCTCAAACATCAGTTTAAATAATTTAATATTCCATGAATTTGACTTTTTATAGTCATTAACTTAAACATATGTGACAACTTATTTGGAGTGCACTGTACCCGCGTTTAATTTTAGTTGTGACAGTAAATCCCACCTAGAAAACATTCAGTAGGCATTGCATGCCTTTTTTTCGTTTCTTTGGTGTAACGTAATAGTAATCAAGTAACGAAGTAATTAATTGATTACATTTTACGGTGAGTGATTTGTAATGCCAATCAGTTACATTTTATTTCAGGCAATTGTAATTGTAATAATCACTTTTTTCGTGTGATGGACGTAAGTCCTGTTTTAAGAGGTAAAATGATGTACATCTCAACTAGTTACCCAGTAGCTTTGTGGTCATCTTGAAGGAAATTTTTCTCAACAAAGAACTTTGTAGTTACAATCCGGTCTGATCACTACTCTCCCCAATTGATTGCGCTCGGGTTTGTGTTTAGGTTGGTTGTTATCATTATCCCACATGTATGTAAAGCTCCATGTCTAATAATCCTCCAATAACGTTTTAAACAAATTACTTTTTAGTTTATTGCTCACAGTCCTTTGGGTCAGGAACGGGGCTTTTTATTGAATGCATGCCTGTATTGCAACGTTTTTGGGTCTAAGAGCTAGACGGATAGAATTGGAACGGCTATAGGGTGGGTGATGACGCACTGACGGGGTCTGAAAAGCTTAGAAGTCTAAAGGCCTGAAGTGCTGAGAACTCTCAGTGGCTGAGGGGGTTGGAAGAGCTGAGAGGGCCCCATTATTCATTACGGTTATCATTACGGTGGAAAGGTTACTTTCTAACTCAGATCCTGGCGTCTAAAAAGAAAGTCTGGAATTATTGGTATTGGAGTGGGTTACCGTTTCTCAAAGTTTGCTCTGAGGTAAATCACATCGAGGCAATCGTGAGGCCATTTCGAGTGTCTAGTGAATTAAATGATGCGGACTTAGTGCTGCAAACCAATAACAAAACGTCCTATGTAACGTAGACAATATCTAGATAACAGTGAAGCAAGATAAAGTGTGATTAGAAATCCCACAGAGGAACCATACAAAGATTGATCTTAGTTAACTTACCTTGCATCGACAGTCATCTGCGACGGTAGCATATCGGTACCCAAGCGAAGTGTTCCTGGAGCTCGGTCGTCTTCAACCAAGTCGTCGATGCTCCGATGCGTAATTACTGTTTGACCGTGCATCAGGAGCAACTGGTTCATGTTTTTCAGTATGTGGCCCTGGTTGCTCACCAGAATTCGAGTCTGTGAGATCAGTGTTTACATGAGACAGCAATAATGAGTTTGGGTGGAGGCATCTCTAGCAAAATATAATGCGACAGGATACATTGGTTTCCATACTCAGTTAGCGAAATTTTCATCAATTAGAGTTAGAACTTCCGCACAATTTCCTCCGTGGTATTTTTTTATTTCTTTAATATTTTATGTACTAGAGAGCATAAAAATAGATGTGAATTTAGAAATTCATGGTGTTAATTGATCGTTGATCATATTCATGGATCCTATTTATTATGCAGCGAAATTACAAACAAAACATAAAGTTTGAGCTAGCCTTCTTCTACTTGTCCTTTTGTTCGTTTGCGCTGTTTTCTTTATATGTTTGAGCTAGCCTCGAGCAAGTTGATATGCTCTGAAACACAGCCTGGTTGTGCGATACGGTTTATAATGTAATCCCTTGTTTTCGCGATAAATTGCCAGGCTCGCATTGTAGACAAAAGGCAATATTGTAAAATTTAACCCTAGGTAAAATTCCCACTCAACCACAGACCCGATATGATAGAATAAATATCCTGCTTTTCTTTCTTTTTTTTTGCCTTGTAAGGTGCTGCCATACCTGTTTCTTCAGAAGTCCATTGTTTCCTATCACCTGTTTGAAAACTCTAGCGGCCACGGTAGGATCCAAGGCACTCAGCGGGTCGTCCAGTAGGCAGATGTGTGAACGGCTGTACGCCGCACGAGCCAGAGAAATGCGCTGCTTCTGACCACCGCTCAGCGTTGTACCCTGAGTATACACAGACTCATATGTAAAGCACGAATAGTTTATTATAGGGACACTTGAATAAGTTCGAATTTTTAGAACATTTGTGCGATACGTTTGTGAGAGCAAGGTGTGTTTAAAACAAATGTTTCAGATGTAAGATAGCCCGGAACATTTGGTGACTGGAAGCAAAATGTTCTTGGTATGTACAACTTCTTTATCTGTTTTGCGGAAACAAATCCGCAAAACAAATAAAGAAAAACATAAAAAGACTTGAGGACTCAAAATAGAACTTCAACAATAGGGAGTTTTAGAAAAACATACGCAATTTTAGCGCACGCTAGCGCTAATTTTAGCGCTTGTATTTGCGGACGCGACGCAAGAGAGTTTTAGAATAGCGTTACTCCGTCGCGACGCAAAAGCCCAAGCAGCTCGGGCTTGCGACGCCACCAAAATAGTCACCATTTTTATTTCACACACGAAATGCTCTAACTTTAGGAAAAAAAAAAACAAGTTTTTTGGCTCAAAGTACTATTTTAGATTTGTTTAAACATGAGAATGCGACGCGAGCGGTTGACCGGTCGCGTCCGCTTGCGTCGCCTAAACAAGAGAGGTCTCGTGTACTGACCTTCGCACATCGTACCTTTGCCCAGAATTGTTCGCGTGTCGCAAGTATCAAGTTGCCGGGGATCGTTTCCAAACCGAGTAGAATGTCGTCCCGTATTGAAAATCGCAGTCGCGAGGATGCCGCCGACGTCGCATTCACGACGCGGCCAAAGCAGCCACCGACATAATCCCTGGAAGCCGCCATTTTTTTTAACTCTGCTCGTCTTGGCTTTAGCCAACTTCTCATCACGAATCCTCCTTGGAGAAGCGCAAAGACTCTTTCCGTACGCACGCTATTTCCGAGAAATAGCGCACGCTAAACTGCGCACGCAAAGCGCAAAACCTGGTTTGCGTTCGGAGCATGCGCAGTGGCGACGACGCTATTCTTTGCGTACGCAAAGCTTTAGCGTGCGCTATTTTAAAACTCCCTAATAGGACCGCGTTTGGGCATCTCATTCTTTCATAATCCCTCCTTTTCTCCGATATATTGGCAACTCCAATGCCCTATAGATGGCGGGACGGTAGTTCTAAAATGGCGGATAACTCAGGGTTGACTTCTACGTGGTCTCGTTAGCGGACGCTGGTTAGTGAAAGGGCGTACGGCAATGGGTGCGCATTTATATGACTGGAAAAACGGTGTGGCTCGGGCAGGAGATGGATTTGTTGCAAGCAAAACAAGCTTGTTGATTTTTTTTTTTACAGTATTTACGATTATTTCAGCAGAAAAAACGTGTTTTGCACGCAAGAAAAGTCATTGTGTGCAGGCAAAAAATTGGAAAGTCATGCAAGTACCGTATTTTTACGCGGTGCCTGGCCACCAGTTGACTAAAGAGTCAGCCGGATAGGGTGACCGTCAAGTTCCGGAAGAACAACGTTCTCAATTTTTTTTTTTTTTCTGTGTGTGAGGCTTGCTGCACACCGTCCAAGTTTTGCTGTATTTCTACATATGAGCAACTTACGTCGCTGTTGGTAATAACGCCATCAATGCGTTTTAGAGCTTGATTGGTCACTGTATTAATAAATTTACATCTGCGTATCATGTCGCGATCACAACAGTATTGCTATCTTTCTCTCAAAAACTTCCAATGTTAAGAACGCTTCATGAATGACTCGCTAACACAGACGCCATTAAAAATGCCGTGAACTAATATGTATTAAATGTTCTGATTACAGCAACAAGTAGTCTCTCTTTTGGAAGTGATTGGATTGAACCTGCATTTTTCTTGTCACGCGATATTTTGAATGCGTAAAACTCGAATCCATTCCCTTACGTCAATCTCTCGACACACTGTTGCGCAAGCGGTTTTCTTTTGCTTTCGGGTAACAAGGGTAACTTTTCGCAGATCGCACGCAACAACTTCGTAATGCTAGAAGGAGCTGGTGCCGTTACGCTAAGCACGAATTGAGTTAGCACCCGAAATCCGCAGAGTACGATCTATGCTACGGCCCCTAAAAAAATGAAAGCCGTTTACAACTCCCTGTAACGCCGAATTTGAGCGCAGCTCTTGAGGAGGAGGAGGGAAGGGTACTGGGGGGATAAGTTGACCTCGGAAAGGGGGGGGGGGGGGGGGGTCACGTGACCTGGGAGATCACGTGACCCCCCCCCCCCCTAGGTCCTCCCGAAGGAACCCAAGGTCCTCCCGAGGTCCTCCCGAAGGAGCCCGAGGTCCTCCCGAGGTCCTCCCGAAGGAACCCGAGGTCCTTCCGAGGTCCTCCCGAAGGAACCCGAGGTCCTTCCGAGGTCCTTCCGGAGAAACCCGAGGTGCTTCCGAGGTCCTCCCGAAGGAACCCGAGGTCCTGGGGGGGTCACGTGACGATGACGTCATCAGTGATGATGACGATGACGATGCGGATGCCGATGAAGTCATTGGCATCCGCATCGCCATCGTCATCGTCACTGATGACATCATCAGTGACGTCACTGATGACGTCATCGGCATCCGCATCATCATCGTCATCATCACTGATGACGTCATCGTCACGTGACCCCCCCCCCCCCTTGGTCCTCCCGAGGTCCTCCCGAAGGAGCCCGAGGTCCTCTCGAGGCCCTCCCGAAGGAACCCGAGGTCCTTCCGAGGTCCTCCCGAAGGAACCCGAGGTCCTCCCGAAGGACCTCGGGTTCCTTCGGGAGGACCTCGGAAGGATCTCGGGTTCCTTCGGGAAAATTTACCCATAATGCACCGCGCAATTACGCCGACGGCGACGGCGACGCCGACGCCGCTTAAGCCGGAAACGGGCGCCTAAGAGCTGCGCTCTAAAATAAAACACCCAGGTCCTTCGGTACAAAGATGCTGCAAAGCGGGACGAAATTCAGCCTCTAATGCTCTGGTTCAAGCAGCATAATGAACAAGCAGGCTTGTCAGAACCATGCCGTATCAGCAGAATCAGACCTGATACTGGTCGCCCCGTCCCCACTCCTCTGTTACTTCGTTTGTCCGCCAGAGGGCGAACGGCGAGCTGGAGTTGAGAATAGCTGCGGTGATTGAGATCGTGCTGTTGGTGGCTTGTGACTCATAATCTGTATTGCACGCCACCCGGATCCGCAACCGTATCACGCTCGCGCTATGAGCCCCAGCCTTGTGCCCCTCTCGTTAAATCAGTCGTATTAAATCATCAAATGTGTCAGACGTGTCAAACCTATCGCTCTGAACGGGTACTTATTTGTTTATTTATGTCCAAACCAAGGCATAAAAGAAGGGATTGGGCAATGAAATACAAATAACATAGGAAAACAGAAATTACGCAGGAAAACACGTTTACAAACGAGGCTAATCAGAACACAAAGCGAACAAATAAAGATCATATCTAAATTCAGCACAGTCGGTTACGACAACGACGAGTGGGAGAAGACGATTTCAATCTAGCCGTGTGGTTGGTAGGAAACTCTAAAAAGTAAACATTTCGGCCGAAATCTGTTCAGTTAGGTGAGTATTAACATAAGAAGCTGAGGCGCTCTAACGAACTGTGTTTAAATACCCCGACGTTTCGCTGCCCGCTCGGTCACTTGTTCACGGGTGACTTATTTGTCTGGGTGTTTGTCTTTTGTCTTTTTCTCATTGTCGTTGCCGTTAAAATCGTCTTCTTCTTTTTGTGACTCATTGAATTCCGTGAATATAACTACTTGGGAGTGTGCCAACCGACCAGTTCAGGTTGTTCTTTATATGCCGTATATGCCATGACTTTAATAGAGTCGTTGTTTCCAGTTCCTTTTGGTGTCCAGGACGAAACCGCTTTCGAAATCGATGACGTGGTTATTTATTTCTGCATGTTCGGCTAGAGCGTTTCCTTGTATGCCCTCCTTTTTTACATCACATTTGTCTCTGCGTAGACGTTCGGGGAAGTTCTTAGAATTTTCCACATATGAGGCGTTGCCGTCGGCGCAAGGAATACGATAAACAATGCTTTGGGCTTTTTCTTTTGGACGACAATATTTTGGAAGAGGAAGATAAGGGCCAATGGTACAGACGGGCTCGTGTGTTCTCTGAGGTACAGAACGCACATGCGGCTGGAGGACTGGGTTTTCTCGGCTGCAGATGGGGGACGAAGTTTCCTGTGGATATTGTTGACGAATCTTGTTGGATATGAGTTTTTTCGAAGGTCCCGTATTATAATCTAAACTTCCTCTTTAAGCGCATTATCTGTGGCACACACCGTGATGGCATGTCGAAATATTGCCCAAACTTTCGAAGATTTGCTTAATGGTCGGGTAGTCTGATAAAAAATTTAGGTATCGTCCGGTGTGTGTTGGTTTTTTATACACCTGGATTGTTAAACGGTTGCCTGTTTTTCTTTTTCCCAGATAAATCCAGAAATAGAATGCAACCGATAGATTCATGTTCTACTGTGAATTGAATATTTGGTTCAATAGAATTAAAATGTATGTACAGGCGGTCAACTTCTCTGGTTTTCACAACGCAGAAGCAATCGTCTAGGCAGCAAAGAAACTTAGTAGGTGTTGGAAAGAACGTACTTAATGCCCTTTTTTCGATGGCCTTCATTGTGAAGTTGGCTACTGTGACGGACACAGCAGCTCCCACGGCGGTGCCACTACTTTGCTTGTAGAAACTACCAGCGAAAGAGATGTAGGTGTTCGTCAGGCACAGTTCTAACAGGCGGCAGATTTTGTTCACGGATAGCTGGGTTCTTTCAGGGAGAGTCATATTCGACGTAAGTTCCGTTCTGATGACGGACACTGCGAGCTGAATGAGGATATTTTTTAAGAGAGACACTACATCAAAGGAAACAAGACTCGCGTCGTCGTTCACTTGTAAGTTCGAAGCTAGTTCAATGCAGTGGGCAGTGTTCTCAAAATGCGTGCTGGTTTCTCCCATGAGTGGAAGAATCAGACGATATAGATGGTTAGAAAGCCCGCAACGGTGACGTCGTGAAGTCGACTATTGGACAAAGAGGGAATCCTGGCTTGTGAGTTTTGGTAAGCCGTAGAACGCAGGTGTTGATCCGTTTCGGCAGATGAGGTTCAGGTAAAGGGCCTGAGATTCTGGATATTTACTGAAGATAGAAAAAAATAGTGTTGCTTAGGATTGCTTGAACTTTTGATGTTCGGTCCTCCACTAGTGTCTTGTAGGCATCCGTGTTTAGTTCTCACTCGTGCTCTCAAACCATACGGCATAGCAGTTCTCAGCCGTGCTCACAAACCATACGACATAGCAGTGACACACAAGCCCGTCTCGACCATTGTCCATCATCTTCCTCTTCCAAAGGTTGTCATCCGAAATAAAAAGCCCAAGGCCTTGTTTGTCGTATTCCTTGCGCCGACTGCAACGCCTCATATGTGGGGAAACCAAGAACTACCCTGAACGTCTACGCAGACACAAATATGATTTAAAAAAGAAAGACATAGAAGGAAACGCTCTAGCGAAACATACAGAAAAGAACGACCATGTCATCGACTTCGACAGCAGGTTCTTCCTGGACACCGGAAGGAAGTGGAAAAAAATACTCTATTTAGAGTCATGGCATATTCAGCGTACAAAAAACAGTCTGAACCGATCGATCGGCACCCTTCCCAAGCAGTTATATTCACGAACTTTGAGGAGTCACAAAAAGAACATGATTTTAACGGCAGCGACAAGGAGAAGAAGGAAAAGACGAACACTCAGCCAAATTAGTCACCCGTGAACAAACGACCGCGCAGGCAGCGAAACGTCGGGGTACCTAAACACATTTTGGGTAGAGTACCGCCAGCTTCCTTTATTATGAAGAGCTAAGAAAAACTTGTTGACTGAGAGTGGAAGATATATCCTTTGTTTTGATTATTGACACGTGATGTGGCGTATGATGGTTGTGTTAAAAGAAGGTGAGAGAAAGTTGGGTTAGGGAGATAGACATTATAAAGTAAATAAAAGAGGAATACCTGAAAGGCCAGAAAAACGCAAGGATTGTTTCTTGCTGATATTTCAGATAGGTTGTGACAGGTATAAACTATAATTTTAAAAGAACGATTTTGAACATATTCCTGTGATGATGCCTGTGTTTTGAAGATAAAAACGTACAGCGTACATAGACGAGACAGAAGAAAGATAACACATACTCGCTTTGTTTCGAAGGAATCCCAGATATGGAAAGCTTAGTTCAATTGTCTGTGTAAACCGACAGGAGGACCAGAAAAACGTTCGTTTTCAGGACGACCAGAATGCTCTTATTGCGTTGCATTGTAATTCATAATTACATTGCAATGTGAATGTTCCAGGAGGAATTCTTAGCTTTCTGTAACACAATATGTTTATAGGTATAAATCCTAGTGTAATACCGTCCATGTTCTAACGGTACGACGGCAAACCACTTGTTCACCCACGCGAGGCCCCCCAATGTATGCACTCTCCCGTTTCAGCGAGCCTGATTAGGCAATACATTCGTCATCGAAGTCTACACAACCATAGTACACCTTCCTTGCAGGTTCGGAAGAAGAAAAAACGCCAAGTATTTTATGCTTGCCAAAGATCCAGGCGTTACTTGAGAAAGTTCTTAAAGGCCCACCTTTTCTCCGATTTCAGTGAGGTCCCCAGCGGGGAACTTGTTAATGTCGTTGAGCAGCTCGCACGCCTTCAGTACCCGGTTGTAACGAACCGAGTCAAAGTTCTCCCCAAAAAGGATGTTGTCGCGGACGGTCATGTTGTACACGCAGGCCACTTGGGGGACGTAGCTGATGCGGCCCTGTATCAATCAGAACGTTTTGTTATTTTTTTAACGCTGTAGCAGCCGTAGTTTCTTTACTGATTCTTAGGCATTCCAGCTTCGTCACCGAAATTGACTTGTCTAAAGCGGTCTTTTTGTAAGGGCTAGACTGCGCTAGAAATCGACGTTATATTTTTCACAGCATGATTTGCAACTTTTCACGTCTTCGAAGAAACAGGTTTAGCTGTCCCGCCTGCACGCACGCTACTAGGACGTGTAAATGGTATACGGGAGTATGAAACCTCCATACACTTTGGTCAACTTCCCCGACTGTTGCGACTTTTGTCAGTAATAAGTTAGCACTTTAAAATCAGTCGTCTTTAGCTTAACAATAGGGCGCTTGGAGTATGAGGTATAAAATTAAACATGCGCATCGAGGGGCTCTTACGGACGTCCTGATGGTGCCCTCTATGCAGTGCATGTCTCCCAAGATTGCTGAGAGAAGCGAAGACTTTCCGCTGCCCACGAAACCGGCCACTCCCACGAGAGATCCCGGCGCAATGTCCAGGGAAACTGAGCGTAGAGTTGGGCTCTCAACATACTCTTTCCGCTTGGTCCATACGAAGGTGCATTTCTCCATGACGACCTCGCCTGCGAACGGAAATTAACCTTGTCATCACTGCGAGACGATATCATCATGGGGTGTCGCGATCCTGATGATGCTTCTATTTGACCAGACTTAACGTTTTCGAACATTTAACATAAAATTTGATAAAAGTTTGATAGAAGTTCGACGATTATGCTCATGTGTCGAAATTGCAAACAAGCTTACGTCCCTTTACGAAAAGCATAATACAAAGTTGTTTGTTTTATTGTGCAATGTTTTACAATTAATATTAAAACTGTTAAACAAACTTGTGTGTAAGCCGTTTTCTCACATATTAAAATTGTCATGGCGAACTCAAGTTTCACATGAATTCGCCACAACTCCATTTTGACATTTTTTTACTGGCACTTTCCACAATTTTTCATGTACAAATCGTGTTTAAAGGTGGAAGCATACAATTGAAAGGACTTCCATTATATATTACATGTGAAACCATACGATTTTTCTTGTTGGCATTCATGAAGAGATTCATCCCTCTCTTTAAAGTACAGGGTTAAAACTTAACGACAGACTTGGCGCACCCGTCTTGCGCGACACCTTGTGCTCCGCAGGTTCCTCGTCCTGCTCTTCTTCTGTGCACAGTTTGATGATCCTGGTCATGCCGAGAGAAACCTGGTCGACAATGAAATGACGATTATTAGTGGTAAACGTGTAACTACTTTTATAACCAAGATATTATATTAACGATTCAGGAAACGGTATACCTCCTGAATCAACCTTAGCGTGCCTTACCACATTGCAAAGAAAAATATATTATAGCGCAATCTTTAAGCAAGAACCTTTAATCCATTAACAAAAATGGTTGATAACGTCCAGAAATATGCCATTACTCAGTGTGTCTTTTCTTTTTTTTTTTTCTTTTTTTAGCATAGCATAGCAGTTTTGTTTAGAAAGAGTCGTGGAAGAAACACTAATGCGGATTGTCGGAGAGAGCTATACGACTATGGAACGACCGGTAAAAAAATGTATTCATTAACTTATTGATTGTTGTAAATAGACATATGATTTCAGTTAGAAACTTGCTGTGCGTCATCAAAAATTACTAAATCAGTGTTTGTTAAGAAAGGCTTTGAGCGTGTGGGAAACGCAGTAGTGCGCTACAGTTGCCACTAGTGCAACCTTCACAATGCTGGGTCGACAAGACGCGGATAAGAGAGAAAAAACAGCACTAGTGAGTTACCGCACCTTTAACCTTGCTGCTCCTACACAAGTCGTAACTTTAGTGCTCCACCGTGCTCGCCACGTGCTCCAAGTCTTTCTAATATTATGATCCAGTGGTTTTGGATTACGCCCAGAAAGTCCCTAATTAAAGCTATCTGTATATTTTAGTGATTAAAAAGTTAATTAACATATTTTCGTTAATTGCCCGATTCATCGTTACGATTAGCACTTCATGCAATGTCACCCTGACCGCATAACTCGCATGCAGAAACCGCATTGCTGTAGCTTTCAGGTTTTTTTCCCTTTTTTTTTAAATCTCTTAAGCTTAAAAAGAAACACCCTGCATACATGCAGTGTGTTTTGCGGTAACGCGGACCAAATCGATCCTTCGAAAACTACGCATTGTACAGTAAAAAGGTGGACGCAGTATTAGTTTGGGCCAAAGTGCTGTTTGGATAAAACTATAAGCCTCTTCAGTATAGTTGAATTAGATACTTGATGCGAATCCTTTTAAACTGATAAATCAACGCATAATAAAATCATATAAGGCGCGCGCAGCACTTTACTGTGTTCCGACGCGTTTCTAGGTTTCGGTTTCTTGTCGGAGCACATCTCCGCGTCAGCAATCCTGTCCCCAGGGGCCAAAACGGGCAACGCGTGTGCGCCGCCACGCCCTGCACATAATGGGTGCACCGATGTCAAAAAGGCAAACTTCAAGTCGCAGTCCACGGACTTCCTTATCTAGCTTCTTCCGACGGCGATGGCGTGGCGTCGCACGTACGTTGCGCGTTCTGGCCACAAGGGGCAGGATTTCTAGCAAGAAGATGCGCTCTGATGAGAAACTGAAACCTAGAAACCCGCCGAATTTTATAACTTTTTTTTTGAACGTCCTGAAATGCTGCGCGTGCCGTATATCTTTCTAATGTGAAGGGATAACGTTGTTTTCGCTGATTCCAAGCAAGGTTTCAATTGAAACAATGCCTTTAACATTAATGTATAAAAACAAAATTACTGAATATTAATTAACTACCCACTTATAACGAAAACCAATCATTGGGACATATCACTAAGGCATCAACCTTTTGTCTGAGAAACGCATAGTTTTCGCAGGAGTGATTTAGCCCGCGTTCCCCCCCCCCCCCCCCCCCAAAAAAAAAAAACACCCGTATATATAAGGAGAGAGGAAAAAAAACGTAGCGCAGGATGCCGAACATTTTTCGGTAGTAAAGACGCACTTCAATACGTTCTTGGGGTTTTCAACTCGTATCTCCGTATTAATGCATTAGCATTACTGCCCAAATGGCAGAAAAAAAGCTGACAGCGTCCGTTTGTGGACAGCCAGTGTAAAGGGAAGCGCGCCGTGTAGGCAAAGGGAGAGTAGGGAAGGACAAAGTCGAGACGAAGGCAACGTCACGGGAAGGCGGCCGGTGCTCGCGCGGATGCTGGGGTGAGTCTGGACTTGCAGGTGTGCGGAGCGAGTATGCCTTAAATTGTGCTACAAAATGGAGTGTGAACAAAGTGCTAACGCTGGTCCAAGTAGACGGCAAAAAAAAAAGAAAAAAAGGCGGAAGAGCGCGTAGAGCTCGGCACAAGGCGGTCGTGCTCGCCACTTCCCCGTCGTCGTCTTCACCTTCCTAACAATGTTGTGTGACTTAGGATGGAGCGATTTAATGAGGAGGTATATTTGTAATAAAGATGGCAGTCCCAGGAATCTGGATTTTTTCCCCACTACTTTTTTCATCACAAGAAGAGCTCACACGTGGAGAAAGCACCGGTCACCGACGGTAGACTATGAGGGGATAACTTTTGAAGCGTATAACATGAACGCCGTCAGTTTGTTTCGATCGGTGGTGAGAAAGGGATGAGGTGGGAGTGGCCTCGTAGTTGGTCGAGGAGGCTCGTCGAAGCATTCGGAATAAACCCTGCAGCTTTATGAGCAGTTTATCAAACTTGCCTTTTGCTCGAGACGGCGCCCTTAGGAGAACCTCCTTACCCAAATTATACTCAACCGGGGCGTGAGTATCAGAGTAGCGGAGAAATTGCTCTTCTTGGCTTCTCAATGTGTGAATGCGTGAACGTTGCCGAGCTTCTTCTGCGCGGCATAATATGTCTTTAGCATAACTATCGCGGGAGGTGTTATCAAGGTAAGGCAAGAGAGTGTCCACCATTGACAACGGTTCCCGTGCGTATGAAATATAGTGTGGAGAATACTTGGTGGTAGCTGGGCGACTGGCGTTGTATGCGTACATGATATAAGGCAAAAAAGGTGTCCCAATGATCGTGATTATCGGCGTAAGACTGAGATGTCATGTTGGCTATTTTATGCTTTCAGCATTCGTCAAAGCCATTCGTTTGAGCGTGATAAGCGCTGGTGACATAATTGACAGTATGCGTAAGTCGCAAAACATATTTATTACTTTTGCGATAAAGGAGGTGCCGCGGTCACTAATTATGCTTTGAGGGACCTCACGGTGGAAGAGAATAGAATGTTAAATAAAGTCAGCAACTTCAAAGGCTGTAGCTGCTGAAGCTGCCTTAGTTCTAGAATATCGGGTAACATAATTTCTGAACACTATCATTCATCGGTCGTTTTGCACAGAGCTGAAAAAGGAGAGTAATAAATCGTCACCATTGTGCTCAAATGATGATTCGATGGGGAAATGGGTCTTTTGACTCCAGCAGATTACGTCTTTGGTTTGTTTCTTCGTCTGGCATTGCTGATATAGCCGGACGTGTTTGTTACTTGAGCAGTGTCTACCATTCCAGAAGTATTTGGCGCGTGTTGTATACTACGTCATAGAGAAAGTCCAAGAAGCCCAGCGGTTCGGTCATCGTCATTTGCTGTGATGACTTCCTTTTGGAGACGGCGCCTAACCACGAGTAGCCAGGGTCGTCCTGGTGGCTTATAATTTATTTGGTAGATGATGCCGTTGTGAGGCTAGAGAAGCCGGGCCCGACACTCGATGCCTGCGTTGCTGGAGGGCGGGCTGATTCCTTGACGATGGTGATTCAAGAGATTTAGTGCATCACAATCCAGCTGAGAGGAATGCGTTTTGACACTGTCTAACGTGGCAGTTGTATCCAGCGTAGATGCATGGTTTTGACCAGATGTGACAGAATGAAGTGGACATCGGGTAAGCTGTAAGTATTAAGATGTTTCTTGTCTGATTTCTATACCACTGTAAAATTTAACTCCTGCAGTTTTAGGGGCCAGCGGCCAATCGTCTCGAGGGATTCTTGAGGTTTAACCTAACCAGCTAAGTGTGTTGTGATCGGACACTATTCAGAAGGAGCCATTGAGGTAGTGGCGAAACTTTGAAATCGTCAAAATGACGGCCAAGCACTCTTTTTTTGTGGTGGAAAAGTTCCTTTCAGTCTTGGTGAAGGTGCGGCTAGCACACCCAATGACGCGATTCGTGCCCGTCAATGACCTGAGAGAGAATAGCCCCAATATCATAACCACCGGCGTCAGTTCTTATTTCAGTGTCCGCCCCTTCAATGAACTGACCAAGGATGGGTGAGGATGTTAGAACTTTTTTTAGTGCAGTAAAAGAGTCTTGGGGGGCTAGCCTTCACTCGAAGCAAACCACAGCATGGAGCAACCGGTTAAGTGGTTCGGCAATATTCGAAAAACCGCGTATAGGCTTGCGGCAGACTGTGCACAGACAAAAAAATACTTTTATATTATTTACTTTTTTCGGGACGGAAATTTTTTCCCGGGAGCACTCTCTCATAAGTCTGAGAATATATACTTGATTTTGTTTTAAACATTACGGGCGTTTTTTTTTTTTTTTTTTTTTTTTTTAATGCCATAATGTTTACACAAACGCGGTCTGTGTAGGTGAGTTACCCGGCCCAGAATATGGGGAAGCGGGGGGGGGGGGGGGGGGGGGGGGGAGCCAATTGTCACGATAAGCATGGCTGTTTGTTTGCATTCAATGAAGATCATTTTGATTATAAGTATTGTCTGGGGTGTTCTTGTGAACATAACATGCACATTATTAACGAATCTTGAAAAATACATGGAGGCAATTGCTCTCAAGAATCTAAACGAATTGATTAGAACTAAGGAACCGAGAATTACATCAGCTGTGAGAAAATCAATCGCTCACAATAAAAAAAACTACGCAACTTCATAAAAGACTATAAAGAACGTTTTAGAATTCTATAAGCTTTAAGAAAAGCTTAGGTTGCAAAATTAGAATAAAGGGCGGCAGAAGTCGTCAACAAACGGATCAAGTTAAAGTAATGTAATTGAACTGGAAAAATTTAACACAGTATACAAATAATTTACCTAGTTCTTATAAAACAACAACCCGAAAGCATGAGAAACATATCACGAGGCATAAATGGCCAAATTATGAAGGGTTCGTATTTTACAGTAATAAAAGAATGAGTCATTCCGTCAATTTATGTGATCCACAGGCGCTAGCTTTCCAGCAGGAAGTATTTTCTCATTGCGGTCTTACACGGTAGCTTTGAAATGGAACTTAGGGCATCTACGATGATGTATTACTTATTCAACAGGTATGAGATTACAGAGGGCAGTCGTGGTTCACCATAGCTTGTCCGTGAACGTGACTATGCTATAAAACGGGCTTGAGGTTTCGTGGTAATTGGCGTTGAATCAAAAGTATATTGATACTTTTGAAGCATCTCTAAGGTTAACTTATATTCATGTGATGTTTGGATATGTAAGATTCTATATGCCTCGAAATAGGGCATACAGTTTTCAGAAAGTAGAATAATTCGAATTGCGCCTACAATACGCTTTGGCAGATACAAGAGCGATTTTAAGTTTATATGGTGTGGACCATACTAAGCTAAACTAACAACTAAAATGTGGTTATTAGCATTTTAACTAGTGAGGATAAACATATAGTTCCAATTACAAACTTGCTGAGCGTCAATCGGAAACTACTAAACCATTAAGTTTTCGAAAAATGGGGAATGCGTGTGAAGTGTGTTGCTGCTCTAACTTTACCACTGGCGCAAGATACGCAAGGCCGGTGGTACAAAAATGCGCCCGCTCTGATTTCGATTCTTTTATCAACCGCCATTTCGGACCACCAGCTTTGAGCCTGTCACACGAGTGGTAGCTTTAGCAAACTACTGTGCTACCCACCGCGCTCCACGTCTTTCTAAAGTCTACTGATTTAGTGGTCTGAAGCCTACTGATTTCAATCAAACTGAAGTCTACTGATTTCAATCAAAAACTTGATTGAAATCAGTAGACTTCTTTTTGAAGTCTACTGGCTTCAATATAGTTTTTGATTGAAATCATAACTTTATTTCCCTACTAATGAAGTTAACAAACAAATTTCAGCTAATTATTTGACTTATCGTGATGATTTAACCACTGTATTTTGCCTCACTGGCCGTATTATTCGCTTGCGCAGACCGCATGAGTGAAGCCTTCCAGTCTTTTTACAAAAAATTTCTAAAGCCTAAAAAACACCCTGTAAAAACAAAACTTCATCACTGTTTCACACATGTAGCACAATTGTTTTTCCCAAAATGTATATTTTCATTTTTGGGTGTTTCTTTGTGTGTTTATGAAAGGGGGGGGGGGGGGTGAAATTTGATAAACACTTAATTGGTGGATCTTATCACCTTAAGTGCGGACAATGACACAATTAATGTACAGATGTGTTTTGCTTGCTGAATGACAATATTTTACTGGAAGGGAGAACACTTACTATGCTTCTCAACCGCAGAATTTGAGATATGCTGTTGGTGGGCATGTCCGTCAGGGAGAGTATGTAGATGCACGAGAACGAGAGCGATGCACTCAGCGTTCGGGTGGGATCCAGGAGGGCTAGAGTGCCAAAGAGTATCAGGATCATCTGATGGCAACAAACGTAGCACTTCATCAACGATTGCATTCATCTTTGCTCCTATACTTAATATATCTTGCACTCTTGCGGTGCAAAAAAAAAACAAAGGAATTAAAATGTTTAGCGTAAGGAATTAACGCTTGATTCAAGTAAACTTTCGATTTTTTAAATGTATCGTATACGTTTAAGCAAGGTTCTTTCGTTGTTATTGTTTTGTTTTGTTTTAAATACAGTCTTGCCTTTTCGGTATTGGTCAGGCCGTTTTCAGGGAAGTATGACGTTGCTTATAAGCGGATATTGAACTGAGGCAGTTCATTTAAGGAGGATAGTTTAATCAAATGAATTACTCAATATTATCTACTCGGGTGACCCGCTACCTATTAACAAAATCCCCCTCCCCCCCAAAAAAAAAGAACCCTCAAGTGGGCCCTATTTTTTTCCATTACCCCGTTCACTCTCACTCCTTTTTAGACTGTTTTGTACACTCGACGATTAAAAAATCCTCAATTTTATAGATTGTATGTAAACCTTATACACACGCTTAATGCTTTTGTGTTAAATTGGCATTATTCTAGAATATTTTACCACCTTCAGGCAAAAAATTTATAAAACTGACGGTACCTTAAAGCACTACAATTTTAATGTTTGTGTTTTTACTTTGTACTAATATTTTTACTTAACTGTCTTGTAAACGTTTTCGGCTGATTGTTGTCTGTGAACAAATAAAAATAAAAATAATTACTAAACTACTGTTAGTAGAATCAAACTACTATGTCTTTAATGAGCTTGAATCCATATATTGTGCCTCACTAATATAAATACGTGCGAGGGCATTTATCTTTTCTGTGCCAGATCTATAATTGTACCCATTAAATGGTTAACCTTATATTTTGTTAATTTTCAAGTGGTTCTCACGTTTTGACCGTCAGAGACCGACGTCAAGATATTTTATTATAATGGTCCCAAAATCACCAAAATAGTTGTGTGATCAGATAATTATGCAATTAACAGGTAACATACATTTACTGAAACGAAAGCAACGAGTTGACTAACTGACTCATTTAACCTACCACAGAACTGGAGGCACTGTACAGTGAATCAATCAGTCCGTCGACGATGTTGATTAGAAAGACAGGAACCATCTCTTTGGCTCTGAGCTCCTTCACGGCATTCATGTACGCGTCTTCCCAGGCGTACATTTTGACCAGTCGGACCGAAGACAGGAGGTCCGAGAGACGCTTTAGGCGGTCGTCGCGGCATCTCATGATGCGCCTCTAAAGTTCAAAAAAAGAAAAGAAGCAGAATGAGGTTAAAGAAGGCCCAAGGGTAGGTCGACAGTTTCCTTTATACTGACAAAGCCTAGCAGATACCCACGAGAAGCGGCCGCCGAAATTAGAAAGGTAGAGCGGCAGACAACGGATGAGAGGAGAGCCACGTGACGAGCGCCCCGCTGCGGCGAAACCCCAAAACACACTTCTCCCGAGCTATGGAATGTCGGCTCGTGCTCCTTGCATTCCTCGCGCTGCCGCTTCTTTTCTCGTCGGGTTTGAAAACCATGTTTTGGGTCCTCGCCGCTGTAAAAACTGTGCACTGACGACCAGGTTCTCCAGAAATGTTCTGTGCTACCAGATCTTCGCGCTCCAAATCTGCGACCGGGTACCCTGTGGCTCCGTCGTCGAACTGCCAGGCTTTCTGAGTATAGAAAAAGCTATGGAAGTTCACATGTTTTTTTTGTTGTTTTTTTTAGATCATCGCTGAAATCCTGTGTTAAATATAGTAACAAGGCTATTAGAAAGTCTGTTCCACATATTGCTCTCGAAAGTTGCAAGGGTGAATACTAATTCAGAGTTGCAACTATTTCTGTTACTTCAGTTGCAAGTGATTATAGCCTGCCGTTCTTAAGTAATCGATAGCTTGCCAGCAAAATGAGGTGGAACAATTGGGCCGCAATGTTGGCTTGAAAAGTGACGATTGCACTGGCACATGAGAAAGGAAATCGCCATGCCCGCTACCCCACCGCAGGTTGCATTTTCGAGTCAAAACCGTCTTGTCGGCTCATTGATTCGGTGAATATGGGATTCTAGGGTGCAATAATTGTTGCACGCAATGCTCAACAAAAACGTGAACGTCTCGGTATTCTTTTCCATTATATATTTAGGACAGTCGCGTAAGTAACGGAGCAAATAGAAACAATTTGTGAGTCCGGAATACATCAGGGTGTCTGCTGCGTCGTGAGCCATTAAGACCAGCGATCATTGGTCTTCCGTTTATCGGTTAACTAAATCAAAAGGGCGTTCGGTGTCGTGCTCCAATAACCATGAAGACCGATTGGCTAAAAAAAAAAGTGGACAGTTCTCTCGCCGAGCATTACCTTCCCCTTTAGTTTAACTCATCAATTGGTGATGGGGGTGTATCACCGTGCAATACACACTATGGACTTTCTGAGAGTGTATAGAAAGTTTATGGCTTAAGAAACACGAGGTGTAACTTGGCTATTATGTCCATGACTTTTGGCTTGTTATTTTTTATGTGGCGCTTTTAGCAGAAACACACTACCCGTCAAGTCCAGCGTTTCTTAAGAAATTTCTGAACATATTGTCGCACGCGCTGCTTTCCAAGTGGGCGGCGCGCCCGTGACTGAACGTTTATCGCGCTTGCCTTCCACGCAGAAGGGCGGGGTTCGATTCCTAGCCGCGGCTGCCCATTTTTGTTGACTCTGTAATGTGATGTTCTGGTAAAATCAAGAACCGTCTTGGGCTGATTAGAAGTTAGACTGTTCTACGCACTGAACCTTCTACGCCGAATGTTTCAGAAGCCCAGGCGTGTACAAAAGGGGCTCCGCGCGGCGAGCTGGGGTGAGTCTCGCCCCAGCGCTCAAACCTGCTGTTACGCCGACTTCGACGCCGCGACGCTTTGCTCTTATCGTCTGTTTTCTTCTTGTTTTGAGCACAAGTTCGTCCCATTAAATGTTCCGTTTACTCAGTTATTCGCCTCCTCATCACTTCTCATTCGTGACAATATTTTGTCGTTCTTAAGATAAATAATTGAAAGCTTTCCATCAAATCCACGTATCTTTTAAAAAACTTTACGACTCATTCATTTTGCAAGGCAAGAAGCGAGGCCATGGTACGTTGGCGGCAGAGCAACAAACAGAAAGAAGTATTTAATGCACGGCTATAGCGCGAACTATACGGATGTACCTATAAACATTTGATTATTCGCATCCGCGACGAGATTCAAAAGTACACTCTAGGAAAAAATGGAGGAAAAAAACAGCAACGGCGCGTCTTCCTCCCTTCTACTGAAGCGCCCCCAAGCGGACATGAGAAACAGGGAGGAACGAAACGGTTTTCTCCTTCTCCAGGCAGACGGGAGAAAGCTTTCGCCCTCCCGACTCATCGTCTTTCGGTTTCGTTTTTCGAGCAGGTCGCGCATGTTGTTTTATAAATGTTGTTGAGTTGATTGAGCTTCAGCGGCAGCGAAGGCCGCCTGCAATTCCGTCTTCTACTCCAAACGGGCAGAGCATTTCGTTTGCATTGACGTTTTTATCACTAATTTTATCAAACGAGCAAACGAAGCCGCTAGAAATTGCGAAGTTCCGGAGCAGTGCCAGCAGCGCTATGTACACTGGGTAACATGGCAGTCTCCGGACTGCGGGACCCACGCCGAACTACAGTAGCGGAACCACGCGGAACTGCGTCGACGTTTTCAACGTTATGGAAATCGCAGGAACTGCGTCTATAGAAAGGCAGGTTTTTCTGCCTGCTGCCTGCGTGCCTTCCGAGCTGGGTTGGGTTCTGTTTTCCGATGCCGAGTGCCAACCAGCGTTCAACGTGGTTGTGTATTTCTGCGTGTCAGAAACATAGCAGCAACATCGTGATGGCAGTGTTGTGGGTTGTGAACCGAAGACTGGAATTATCGCCGATGTGACCGTGTGCGCGTATCAGTGGTGTAACAACAAGATGGGATGAAGTAAACTGTCGGGCATTGTTGCCGCTGGTCGGGCCGTGATCGGAGGGGGCCGGTTGTCGCAGGTTGACATTCCGCTTTACATTAAAAAGTTTAAGACCACTTGAGAGATTAGGCACGTGCAATCGATCGACTTGCGGATAGTCATGTTGGAAAGCTGGTCTGAACAGTAAGCTCCTATCGTACAGAGGCCAATGTGATTGTCAGTTGTCTCCTCGCCGAGAGCGATTGCGCTCTGGGGAAAGGACTTAAGAGTACAAAATTATGACGGAAAATACGTATATTTACAGTGTGGAATTTTAGCATTAAAAAAGAATAGTAAGTAAACTCGAGAAAAAAAAAGCTATACCCTTTATTTTGCTGTATGAATATACTACTGTTCCTTGAAAAACTGCCCTTTAAGAGGAGCGCCGGGATGAGCACCAGAAGTTTTCGAGCTCTCCACGGCGTAGCTCCGCACACTTAACACCTGCCGCAAGTCGCGGCTTTGACTGCATTAGTTTGATCGAAAAGAGATTTCTCTGCCCGTGAAGCATCACTTCCAGCTGAGTGAATATCCTCTCTACAGAGATTAATTCAAGACGGCAATCGCAGCCAAATAGAAAAACAAACGCTACAATAGAAATAGAGGCTACGGCGTGCCGTACGGGGAAACAAACTAATGGCTTCGAAGCGCATTAGAGCGGCTTGATTTATTGGCTTACAACAAAATTACGGCATGATCGAGCGTTTACTTTTAATAAGAGATTTTTCCCCTGAGCCATTCAAAATAGTCTCAGAGGTATGATATTGCTGGGAAAACATTAACATGCTGGGAATATTTTCTTATTGCTTAGGAGTCACCAAGAGATTCCGTACGTTCAAAACGACCACTATAAAAGACTGGAACGCGGAGTTCGAGTGTAGTGTTCGGGTTACTGTGCCGTTGTATGTGTGTGGGCTCAATGTATGTTCACCTAATGCTTGTAGTATACGTAATGTGTCTACATGTGTGTATAGCAGAGATCACAGAGGTTCCCGAAGATCCCGATACGTAATGGTAGCCTGAGGAAACAAAAATATTTTTTGTAGAACATGAATTGTGCGATACCTAGCGCCACCTAGCCTTGCTACTTGCAATTACTCTGCTTGACCCTGCCAGCTGGTGACAAGCGATTTAACCTTCTTTCGCGCAACGCGATGAACACGCATCAGCAGCTTCGAGTTCTTTTGAGAGCGGCTTTTGGTTTCGCGGATTGGTTTTTCATTCCTTCGTGATGTGCGGATGACGAAGGAATTGTGACTTGAGGAGCAGCAAAGGTAAGACGTAAAGGACGCGAAATAACTGGGTATCGGTTGTCTCCGTTTACCATCGCAGTGCTGACGAGGAGAAGACATAGTAACTGCTTTCGAAACGGAAGTTTTTGTACCTGCGGGGGGAATCTGGCTTCGGAAATAAACACAGCTCACGGAAAGCTCGTGTTACACTTTTATTTGCTGCTCCTCTCGTACCGTGCTAGAGACGTAGCGTCCTCGTTAAGCCTCACTGAGCTCGACTTGCTCGATCCAGGGCCGCCACAATGAGATGCAGGCGACGTAGGAACTACTTGCTCCCCTGCTTCAGGTACGAAAACTTTCCCCTTTCTAAAGGAACATAGGTTACAAGACCGTTCCTCTCCTTAGAGAGGACTATCGATACCCTTTTTTCTAAGAGTGTATTGCGCAAGGACACTGAGAACAGCAGGGCAAAATTTAAGTTTAAACTTACTGGGCAAGCGAGCTCGAAGGTACACGCCTCATTTAATATATTTTACCATTGCAAAGAGCGTAATCGGATTCTCACGTTGGTTTTGGTCATCAAGGCTGAAAGAACCAAAACTATCCTTCAAATCCAGTAACGTTAAATTTGGGTAACAAACTAGATTTTGCAGGTCTATTTTACTACCAAAGATAAGGATAAGGGTAAAGTTTATTTTCAATCAAAAACCGGCAAACAATCAAGCCCGCTTAAGCGTAGAACGCTTGTATGCGGGACATGGCAGTAATTATATTTATCTTGTATACATAAATATAATTCACAATTAAATGAATCACAAGCACATACGGCACTTAACATCCGATATGATTAGGATAAAAAAAGAGAGAAAAGTACAAAAATAGTACAGGCAGCTACGAGAGTTCACGTACTATTAACAAAATTCAACGCGAAATGCAACAACAGATGCAAGAATGAAAAACAATCAGTCGGTGGTAACGAGCTAATAACAAGTCTAATATACGGGTGTTGGCGGCGTATGGTCGACCAAAAGATGTGCTTTGCGTATATAGAAAATCCCCTTTCGGCTAACGGCGTGCTTTCTATGCTTGGGCCTGTCATTCGAATCGATGTTCGATGTCTCAAGATATACGGTTGTGATCGTACCCACCCAGATAGCATTTTGCAGTCTGGACGTCGGAATGGGCAAAGTTATGGCGATCAGCACCCATGCAGCGCAGCAGAGAGCAGGTCCTGTCCCGACCCGAACCGCCAGAAGGTAGAAGATAAGGGGCATGCACATCAGGCCAACCATTGGCGACGGGAACTGGATGAGGCTGAAGGAAAGCTGCATGCAGTCGATGCCCATGACTGTAACTACGTAGCCCGGAGGGTTGTCGCTCCTGCTAGTAGGAGACAGGCGGGTGATCTGCGAAAGAACGCCATCGAAATGTTGGGGGCAGCATTCTCGGCGTTCAGGCATCCAGGTCCAATCTGAATAAACCAGAATAAAACTGAAAACTAAGAGAAATTAGTAGTGTTTCTAAAAGCTCATTAAATAACAGCAACAACAATTACGGTGTGGGTATCATATTGGAAAGATAAACTCAAAAGTGGGGAATCTTTTTTTAACAATGCTGCCTCTTTGCGTGTAGTCATTGCCTCAATATGACAGTTATCCGAAGTGTTGGTGGCGTTCGTTGGGACCCCCTTTTTTGTTTTAATAGAGGAGTTTACATCTTGCTGCATCCCTATATGCTTTTAATGAAATTGCCCTTCCTAGTTAGACTTTAAAAGTAACCACGTATACAATCCTCAGAATCGCGGCCGATGTTTCTCCAAGACGTTCTTAGTGAGTTTCGGCTGCCACTTTATAAGGTTTGAATGGAATTCGTCCTGAAGTTTTTTATACCATTTCAGGCCACCCTTGTGTATCAGCTGCAATGGAAGTCACGCACATTATATATTCGAATTATACGGCGTAGTATATAATAAAAAAGTGAAACTTAAGGATCCCTATAGTTTTCGAAAGCTTAAAATAAAACAAGGCGTTACGAAAACCAATCATTTTACTATCGCTCCACACTCAATCAGAGTGCAGCACTAGCCGAGAATAAAGCCGAAGATACGAATCAAGAAACATGGAGCCTAAACATAACAAGCCACGCCCTGGATTTGTGACGCTGCCTATTATTATAAACGATGAGTCGAGTGCGATAAACATATGCTTTTCTGGTAGCACTACACCCTGAGAATGCTAGTGCGTCCACTATTTCGCAAAGCACTTGGACGATCGCTGTAATCTATAGATGGAGCTCGGCACAAGAAAAGATTGACATTACGTTTGACGAAAGAAAACCGTCTCTTGCGTGACATTCCGCATTACGTAACGACGAGAAACATCACGCACAATGTTACAATGTTAAATATGTTTTCGACAGTTTTTTAATCTAATGAGCCTTCTCCGTAGATTGCACAGCACCTAATTACTCACCTTAGTCCTTATAAAGAAATATAGACGCAGTTTCTTTTTCTTAATATGTGTGTTGTAAATGAGAAGTTAAAAATGCAAAATAATGTTTGAACATTAAGACGCCTCATTGTGGACTAGATGGTTATTACTTATCATGCAACAGATCGCAATGATATCGTGACATTCTTGCTCCAAATCCCCTTTTTTGTATTTACTTTTGACCAAGAACCTCTTTTTCTCTAAGATGAGAACTGGCAAACTCGCCAAGTTTCACATGTCAAAAAATAGTCTGTGAATTTAATCAATTAGGCACACTTTATGTATTAACAGAAGAGTCAGATTGGCCGAAAAAAAAGTGGGCATGTCAGGCATCGCGAACATTTCGAAAGAATTACCGCTGCAGTTTCCATTCACCCCAATGAATACCATGGCACTGAAACTCTTAATATCACGAAGATAATGATCCAAACTTCTAGACAGCGGCTAACAAAGTGAGTTAGAGAAAACATAACATTTAATGGGTGTGATCCCTCCCGTACCTAGTGGCATCAGGTGAAAAAGAGAGGGGCCAAACACAGTCCTTGAGTCCCGCCCTCCCCAAGTACGCGAGAAGTGAATCTAGGACAGTTTTTGGGTGTTGTGGTGGCCCCGTAGGTTGAGTCCGGAATTCAGATGCGTTGACTCGTAAAATTTTCTATATCTTCAGATAGCTGAGCCCATGCGGCGTCCTGGTGTTATTGTAGAACCGGGCATTTCCAAAGAAGGTGCCGGAGGTTGGCAGTTGAAGCCTCAAGCCCTTGTGGGGTACACCGAGTACTGCGACCCTCTTGGGGTTTCTTCTTTAAGAGTACTCGTTTTCTGGGGTGAGAGCTGCGCCAGTCCGTGTCCTCCGAAGTCGCACGGCCGCCCGCCGGCTTTGACAAGGAGGGAAGGGGTCCTCCTCCGGAATCAAGAGCTGGAGCGCTTCTCGCCGTTCCGTCTTCGCAGTTCGCACACTGCAGCGCCTCCTCGTTGTCATAGTGTTGTTTCTGTTTAGCTTCTGAGCTGGCCACTCCTGGCGCAATTTTCCAGGATTTTACTTAAAGCTTCCCGTGCCGCGTTGCCGGCCAACTCGTTGTCAAAGGCTCCCTGATGCCAAGGGATCCAGTTTACCGTAAAGTTCAGGAATTCCCGTCAAAGTTCCCGTGCGATTGCGCAGATTTTGTCGACGAATGGCTTCGGGTAGAACGCTTCCTACATTCGTCCACTGCCTGCCTGAAGTCAGAGTAGCAGTAGATGTGACGCGGTTGGTTCGTAGCATCTAATAAGCCTTTCTGGGCCTCCCGAACAGCTAGTAAAAGTGCCTGAAGCTCCGCTCCTTTCACTGTTTGACCGCCGGGTAGTTTTAGCGCCTGTCTTAACTCGGTTGTAACGCAGTCGCATGTGATTGCAGTATGGTACTGGTAAATGAAGACGGGCAGACAAGGGGCTAGAGAAGCATCTTAAGGGGGGAGGCTGGTCTTTAACTTTTTGTTTTTTATTTTTCATTTATCGTGCTGAAATTTAGTATACTGATGTATTTCTCAGTGGTGATTTCAAATATGCAATTAGTTTTAGATAGCTTTACCAGATCTTGAATTACCAATAAATTTGCCATTTTAATTAGGTCCTCTTTACGGGTCGTTAGCGTAAGAGTTTTCAAAATATATAAAAAAATGTTTATAAAATTGCATTCACCAAGACATGTTTTGTGCGGTGATGCTATTTTCGTTGCTTTATATATCATACAATAATTTTAATTAATTAGCCTCAAAAAGATATAGTTTCCCGTTTTATGCAACTTGTTTGCAAATGTTTTTTACCGATGTAATATCATTAAATCAGTCTTAAAATAGCATCACCGTACAAAACATGCCTGGGTGAATGCAATTCTATAAATATTTCTGATATATTTTGACCAATTTTATGGTAACGACCCGTAAAGAGGACCTATCTAAATTGCAAATTTATTAATAACTCAAGATCTAGTAGAACTATCTGAAAACAAATTGTATATTCGAAACCACCACTGAGAAATACATCAGTATACTAAATTCCAGCACCATAAATGAAAAATAAAAAAAAAGAACAGCCTTGATGCTACATTAGCACATCCAGACTAAAAACGTTTGATCTCATTACACTCTAAAAAAAGGGGTGTAAAAGGGTGTATCGTTGCATCCTTTGTCCCATATAATACACCCCAAAACTTCATTTCGACGTACAAGGCCCTATGATCGAACAGACGGCCCCAAATTTTACGAGGGGCTTGATAACGGTGCGATATAACTTTTGAAATAGCTAAAGTACGTATAAAAGACCACATAAAGAAAACATCGAGTTTTTAGAGTAGGGCCAAGAAAGCCCCGATTAGTTTTTGTGTAGTCAGTGAAACGTACATTAGCTATTTTAATAAGCTGTACCACGACCACACGGCTATCAAGCCCCTCGTAAAATTTGGGGCCGTCTGTTCGACGGTATGGCGCTCTACGACGAATTGAAGTTTTGGGTGTATTATATGGGACAAAGGGTGTAACGATTCACCCTTTTACGCCCTTTTTTTAAAGTGTAGCATCAGGTAGAAAAATAGAGTGAAAGTGGTTGAAAGATTGAGGAGAGATGGGAAATGCTTTGGATGGGGAATTCGTTATGGAATTAGACTTATCACCTCCTATAAATCAGTAATACTGTCTTGAGTTAGACCACGCAATGAGGTGTTTCAGCCAATCAATATAAACCTTACGTGGTGGGTAAATCTAACTTACCTTCCTGAATATTGCCGCCTGCAACACGCTGCGGATTCGTAGTGCAAGTCGCATGCAAAGGTGCAACGAGTAGCACGAAACCAAGGACTCGGCCGTAATCGTGACCACAAAATAAAGAATAAGTGTGCTCTGCTCCGACTGGTTCGTGGAGGCGATGAGATTCCTGGAAGCGGGCCATAAATGACAAGCGACATCAATACAACATATCGCATACAATGCCTGTAAGGTAAATTAAACTAATATAGCACAGCTTTTTTTTCTTTTTTAAAAAATGCGTTTGTCATGAAAGACAGGCACTTTCGATCCTAGGTGCCTAGGTTGCAAAAAAATGACCCATGGAGTCCCGTAACAGGACACGTTTAAGCATAAAAACGGCTAGCAAGTAACTGCGCAAATGCGCTCAGGTTTCGTTCCGACACAATCATATTGGCTGGACATATGAGCCAAGGGGTAAAAAAACAATTCTTCCTTTCGATTCGGCACATTCTAAGCTGGTAACAATAGGAATCGTAAAAATCTGTCTAAACAACTCTCTTCAAAAATATTGCGCAAATACTTCGTGAAAGCCTTGTTCATACGTATGCCTTTCATGGGGTACAACCAATTAAAAAATGAAAGACGTTTATAACTCCCTGTAGCGCCGAATTAGAGCGCTGCTCTTGAGGAGGAGGAGAATATGCGCCTCCTCCTTCTCATCCGTACCTTCTCCCCTTCTTCCCTTCCACCTCCCGTCCCTCTCCTCCTCCCTCTCCCCCTCCTGCTCGTGACGTCATTCGTGACGCTCGTGACCCTCGTGACCCTCGTGACGTCACTTGTGAAGGTCATGATCTTCACGAGTGAAGATCACGCGTTGGTTGTGACCTTCGTCGTGACCTTCAAGAGTGCCTTTTTGACGTCAATGTTGACGTCACTCGTAACCCTCGTGACCTTCGTGACGTCACGCGTGACGACAAGTGTGACGTCATTGTGGGAAACATCCCATGATGCAACACGCGGGTCATGAGTGACCCACGCGTTGCATCATGGGACGTTTACCATAATGCAATGCGCGGGACCCTCATGACCCTCGTCAATCACATGCGACGTCACGTGTGAAGTCATTACCAGAAACGTCCCATAATGCAACGCACGGGTCACGAGTGAGACAACCGCGTTGCATTATGGACGTTTCCAATAATGGAACGCGCGGGACCCTCGTGCCGTCACTAGCGAACCTCGTGACGTCATTATCGTGAACGTTTCATAAGGCAACGCGCTGGTCACGAGCGAGACCCGCGCGTTGCATTATGGGACGTTTCCCATAATGCAACGCGCGGTCACGCCGACGGCTTTGGCGACGTCGACGCCGACGCCGACACCACTCAAGCCGGAAACGGGCGCCTAAGAGCTGCGCTCTAAAAAGACGCAACCTCGCCATGGAACACAAAAGAATACAATAAAACGCAATCGTGTACTCACTCTAGAACAGGAATCCTGGCTATAAGGCATCCGTAATAGGCCAACATGACAAAGATTAACCAAATAGTGTCGAGCCATATGATGTCGTAAATGGCTCTGAGAAGCTGACTTCGCTTTCGTGAATATTTGTCGGATGGGCTGAAAAAAAAAAACATTCGGAGTATCAAAGGCTCGTTCTGACAGCCAGGTGCCACAAACTCGTAAAACACAAAGGTGGAGCCGAAAGTTCGCAGAGCTCGCCGATTGCACTTCGACGAAAAAATTGCGGCGTTATCGTCGCAAAACTCTATGAGACCGATATCACCTTGGTGCAGCAGTCATGCTAATTGTAGTCATTGCTTCCCGGTTTTCCCGGCTGCATAGGGCTGCGGTGCGCGTACATCATCGTACATCATCGTTTTGGACACAACTGTATCGGCTTGGATTCTACTGTCATGTGTGCTTTAAGATATTGTATTGTTTGTAATGCTTTAGTTTGTCAGCAAACGAAGGAAAGTATTGTTTTCTTGGTCTCTGCGCTTTAGAATCGCTTCGTCGTCTGCTGCCAGATCTGAGTCGTTCGGGCGGGGGTCACAATAGTGGCCGCGTGAAAAAGCAACGACGCCACTACTCGAGCAGCCCCGGCTGCTCCGGCGTCTCAATGAACTTGGAAACAAGTGAACATCTAGTTGAAAAGCAAAGAACACGAACTTTTAAGAGATAATCGGCTCGGGCAAGCACTTCGTGGAGGAGCATCGAATGTGTCGGTGGGAAACGGAGCTTGGAATGCGCTTAGGCTTGTTCATAACGTTTAGTCGACAATGAAGTAAGAAGAGCTAAGCAGTCTTTTTTGGGGAGCAATAGTTTTCTAAAAGTCGCTTCATTCTGGGTGACAGCCTGTGCAACATTGTACAGATGAACTGCGTTGAGTAGTCTACACAGAAACAAGAAGCGATATTCAGAAAAACCATGCCTGACATTCCGAAACAACTCGCATCTGTGAAAAAGAGGCAATCATGAAAGATACCTAAAAACGTTGGCTGCAGATGAGTTTGCATCTATACAATTTCTATTCAATTTTTATTTTGTTTGTGCTAGCCCCGAACACTAACAATCGCCTTACGATGGAAGCTTTTTTTCTGCGGTCTTGATGGATCAGTAACACAAGCCAAAATCAAGTTGTGGCGTAATGCACCACAACAAAGTGCGTGAGCTTTTTCTTGCTTTGTTTCGTTTTGCATTTTTGGCGGGAAGGGTTACACTTCTAAATTGCACTATGCAGTGGATGCACCTTCTGTTTTAAAAATTGAAGACTGCTTTCGAAAAAGTTGGTTTTTTTCAATCTTCTAGCGATGCACAAGGGGAATCACTACTTTTATTTTTTGTGCTTGTCCTGATAATTTATAGCTCAGTTTTCCTTAAAAACATGTCGACACATTAATAGTTCTAACCACCTAGATACATCGCGCCAAAAGTGTCTGAAAAATGGCCGCCGCATAACAGCACGGAGGTCCCAATTGAGATAGACCGCTACGAAGAGAGTGCTCAGGAAATTCCAACGCACGTAAACCTTCGGTACGCTCTACTGTGTCTCGAGCCCTGGAACATTAGACACTTCAGCTAACGTGCAATGGGGTGGACATTAATTAATAAACCTTTCTTGCTCACTTTTTTCGTTCGCTGCTTTCTTTTTGGTAAAAATACCTGATGCATTTTTGACTGAGTCACTTCATAACACGAGAAGCCACCAATTGAAAACCACGAGTAAACAGCCAATAAAACGACTGGTGCTAACCCAAAAAGTTTGTAACAAACAAAGCGCACTGGCGCAGCGGGAAATCTGGAGAGAATTATGGCTCCAGGAAGCACTAAAAACGCCGCGGCAGCGTCGCGCCGCGTAGCTCCTGGTGAGATCGGTATATTGGCGCGCTTCGTAAACCTTCGGCCCCAGCGTTTTGTGTTTGACTATTCCAGGGTCCTAAAGCTAAGTTTGTCGACTAAGCGTGATGTTAGTGCCCTTAATCTTTTGTCACTTACAACCGATAAACGCAAAGAAGGGCTTATTAGATTTGCGAATCTTACTCCTCGTGCTAAATGTCCTTTGGCGTTGTTATCGGCGAATGCCTGAAGCTTATCGACTGAAGAGCGATAACAGAATGGTCGCATTTGCTACGTTCACCGATTCTTAAGTTGTCAGTGACTACAGGGAGCATGTACACTTATCAACCAAAGTATAACCACCAGCGCTACGCTGTGCGAATGAGTGCACTCTGCTGACGCACTGTCCACGTTATTTACCACCTTTCGATGCTGGTGGTATTTAACGACTGCCGTAGATACAGAATGAATAATGTGTTCGGCTACGCGCTCATGCATCGGGAAAGGCTGCTGATTTAGACGACTTTGACAGAGGGCAAGGTGTAGCCCGACGGCTCGGAACAGGTATCTCGGGGAAACGCAAAGCTAGCTGGGCGTTTGCGAACTGCCGTCATTGGTACCTATCCAAAGAGACAGTACGACGATCGAACTGTCAGTAGACGCCGAGGCGTTGTACATAGGCTTCGTCAGAGTATGTGGACGTCGGGGGGTTTCCAGCGTGCTGAAGCGAAATGGGCAGCTACCCATGGCTCAACTCACAGCAAGATACCGTGCGACTCAAGGTACAATTGTTTCTTGGCACATAGTTCATCGCAATTTTTTTAGATATGGTACTGCTTGGTGTACGAAACATGAATCAACATGGTACCAGGTAGGTAGTCATAATGTTTTGTCGGATAAGAGTATATTCGGAATACATGAAAGTGTAAACATTGGCTAGAGCACTCTCCATGCATATACCATCATCTAACCTGACTTTCTGCAGTTAAAACAACAACAAAAATCGCAAAATAGTTTATGATATTAGAAAAAAGGAGATTACTTAGTTTCTGTAATCAGCGAGTAGAGTCTATCCAACATGAGGGAGCACTGTATCCGGGTGCTGAGCGCCGGAAGATCTTCGTAAACGGTCTTAGAGCGCTGAAGAATATTTTTGAGGTGCCTGGAAGAAACAAAGAAAGCTTGAAAACGAGCTGCAATATATCTGATTTCTGTATTCTCAACTCTTAGACAGCATCCGCTGGGCTTGAAATCGGTTCAGTGGCATGATAAGTTTTATTTCAGTATGATAGTGATGCAGGAAGAAGTTAACGGACTGTATCTTTCTGAGGAGTTTTGTTTTAGGGTGGGCCTAAATAAATTACATGTTTTTCCGACCTTCTAGGATCATCTTCAGCAAAGTGAGATTAATGAGAAAGATTCACCGGAACCTGCGCAGGGGTTATATTTGTAGAAATAATACTGCGTGGGGCTAGATGCATTATTAATACTCCGTGGGCAAAAACCATAAAATAATTTTTTTTTCCGAGATACTACATTATAATACACGCGAGTGAGGAAAAGTATAAATTTGTTTTCTGAACGTGTGTAAATAAACACTTGCCATAAAAGTACAAATGAAAGACAAACATGGTCAATTGCAATATATATGAAGGTGAACTTCTTCAAGTAAAAGTAAAACAAAGAAATATGTCATTGCACTCCACCGGATTTTTAAATGGACAAAAAGAAAACGAGTTTAAAGAGCCTGTTTTTTTGTTTTTTTTTTTTACTTCGACTTAGAAAATATGGAACTTTCTTACGCCTCTTAAAAAGCTTTTTTTTTTACCTTTCCAGAGAAGAAATTCGTCTACCCAACTGTTTTTACATCTAAATTACAGTGTCATAACGTGCAAAAGTGATTTATTCTATTCATATTAATTGTGTTTGATCAAGCTTACGGCGGTATGTTGAATACACTTTATATTTCCGGTCGCAATGAGGTCACATATTTTGAGTTAAATACTTTTACTTTGCAATCACACGATAAAATAAATAGCCGTTCAAGGTTAACTGAGACTATTATTACAGAGTAAACATAAATCTAACAAGCACGAAACTACATCAGCCATTTAAAAAGGTCATTGAGGACGTCCAGCGGCCGCTTTCATTCTTTTCACGTCTCTCATTTTTTCACGCAAAAAAAACTGGGCTGTGTGATTCCAGTCAGATGAACTATAGTCCAAGCGGCTAATTTCACATTAGCTTCCCTAATTCGCTCAATTGTGGGCACGCTTCGTACACTCTTGTGCTATACTTCGTCTCACCCTACGATAGACTAAAGGCAGAAGCTACGAACCGTCAGATCCAATCACAAGCCAATTAGACATTGCGCGGTATTTCACTTCGAGGCACGTCTCGGATCACTGATGTGAATGGGCGGAGAGTATTTCGTATCGAGCAATGGGTGATTCAACAATATTTTATTGCAAAGAAAGCCACGACGCAATGGCGCTTTGCAGTGCCAAAGCTTTAAAAATGACGCAGCGTTTTTGAATTCAGAGCATTATTCGTCCAAACCAGGTCAATGCTAAGCGTGTCATAGTTTAGCGTGGAACGTGATTGGACCTGGCGGCCCGTGGCTTTGGCCTTTAGTCCATCGTAGGATGAGACGAAGTATAAACAGTTTTGCTTCTTTACAGCTTTGTTTGCAATCTCAATGTTTCAGCTGATTTAACTTGTTCCTTCTTCGAAAATTAGACTACGCAGCGCTGCTTCCTAGCTTCGGTCCGGTTGTCTACGCAAAAATAGGTAGAACTGGTGCGCATAAGAAAATTAAATCATCACTCCTGGGGCCCTAAACTCGTCAAACACAAAGTTGTAGCCGAAAGTTCGCAGAGCGCGCTGATTGGACGTCGGGGAAAAAAGCGCGAAGTCATTGTCGTGATAGACCAATCGGTGCGCTCCGTTAACTTCGGCCCCAACTTTGTGTTTGACGAGTTTAGGGGCCCAGGCGTGTAATATTCAAAAAGTATGACGTTAACGTCCTTCACATGATTCATCGTGCCGTCAGCGACGTGGGCGACCAAAGGCATCGCTGTGGTCGAAGTTCGCGATTGGCCAAACCATAGCTTCCTCTGTACTGATAATGCCTGACCCAATTGCCGAATCACGGCGAGGAGAATTCTGCCAATCACGGCGAGGCAGAAGCAAATCCTTCGAATCAGGATGAAGCAAACTCTCGTCGTGGCGTCAGGAACGGAAACCATACCATGGCGCCACCGAAACATATCGGCGCTAGTACTTGTTCACTGATTTTTTTTTAACAAAATGAATTTATCGGTTAAGCTTTAACAAACCTTAGTCGTTTGCTATACAGCTTCAATTTTCATGTTTTGAAGAAAAGCTAGAGCGCTCCTCCAATGTGTTGTTCACGCGTATGCGTCTTATGTTGTTGCCCTAAGTGGTCCTGAACCACATAAGACAACAAGAAACGCATTTCGGTACTGGCAGCTCTTCATTTTCTCGTGTCGTGCTTCAAGTTTCCAAGTCGTAAAACATTGCGCGGTTTGCCGATAACCTACAAAAAATATGTCATTTTACGTTTTTTCTTTTTTCAGCTGGCATTTATCGTAAAATGCGTTTTCATCACCGCATCAAGGATAATATTAAAAATATAGTAGTAATCAAGTTTTGAATCAAGTAGGCAATAATAATAAACAAAAATAATAAACCCGCCCAACCAAAAAAAATGAAGAAACATGTAAATAATATGAAGCAGAAAAAAGGGAAATAATTGTCTACAGAAACGGCGACAAACTGAAGAACAACAATATAGCAGTAACTGCCTTTTCTGCATCATCATCAGTGTCATTGTTAGACGAGTCTGACCTCAGTTTCACCACAGCTGGAGTGTTTAATCCAATAGCCGTACGCAACGCGTAAGCGTCTATGATATTGTTTTCAGATATAAAGTGCCTAAACTATAGGTAATATATTTAGAGCGGTTTCGAAACACTTCGCAACCAACAGATACCAAACGACACGACATTTGGAGTGTAAACAATATTTGTCGTGCAATTGCATAACTTTCTTACTTGAAGATGGCCACTCCCAGTGCAATTTCAAATAATGAACGACTATCTTCATCCGCCGCACGTTGGAACTGAAAATCAAAATAAGTAAGCATAATAAAAAGACAAACAAAAAGTAAACAAAAAAAACGAAGAAAGAAAGAGAGAAAGGCTGTGTGTACTGCATATCAGTCCACATCGATGCACAAAAATGTCGCTCGCGCACTTAGCTTCATAATGCTTAGTTCCTTCACCTCTTGAGCGAGGCGCATCTATACTGCAGATCCTAAAGCCTTTCAGGAACTATACCCTTCATAAAACGGACAGAAGCAGTATAAAATAATACTAAGAACATACTTTTTTCGACCTGGTGTTGTAGACTGGCGTGTCTCTGAGCCCAGACGAAAGAAAGCTTCCGAGCGCTGCGATTCCAAGCACGGCGTCAATGATCACAACGTGTTTTTGCGTGTACATGTCTGAGACGACGATCTGCGAAACAAGTAGGAAAGAACTATTCCGGCTTATATAGAACACCCTTCAAGTTGAACGTAGTTCACTTCTTTTTTTACAAGAAGCTACACGTGATTTCCGTTTGAATCTTATATAAGAAGCCCGCATTTGTTCATTTCATTTTTGCAGCGAAGCTGTCTATGGTTAGGTTCTGGAGGATCGTCTCCGGCGACAGACCGAGCGTAGACCAACAATTTTCAAACGCAACGATGTATGCCCCACTTTATGCTCCTCTCCACCACCGCCGCCTCTTTTCCGAGTCGTGTATACTCCTCGCC